CAGAAGCTGAATGGCAGGGCGGAGGTGCTGCAGGTGCTCTACCAAGTTTCGGCTGAATGTTGAGAAGTCGTTTATGTAGACGGCCGTGCACCCCGACTTGAGATGCTCCCACAAATCTCTATTAGGTGGGCGTAGCCTGTCAGCTGAGGCGTTAGCAAGTCCAAAAATCACGTGTACTCGAGTTTGCGAATGCAAGTGTGTAGTGCCTTTTTAGTGTCTGTCCTCACGGACAAAGGGGATTTGTCAGGAGGCGTCTTTTAGCTCAGGTGTCAAATAAACAAATGACCCGTCTGGGTTGGCAGGGAATTCATCTATGTGGGGCATCGGGAGACTCTTTCCACAGTGATCTTGTTTAGTAGCTTCTACTTGATGCACGTGCACTACCTTTCGTCCTTTTCCGGCAACACCGTGGGTTTATGCCCGAGAACGCTGGTCAATTCCTGCACGTTACCTTTTTCCAGCAAATAGCATGCCTGCCCCTCAATCTCTTATTTATGCTGTGGGGGCTTCCGATACCCTGTAACACAGGCTGGGGCTGGCAAAGGGGTCGGCATTCTAACCTTGTGCTGGATGACCAGTTGGTGGCGACTGTGCTGGCAGCTCGTCACTATTTAACACACACGCGAGTCTCTCCTCTTGATACTTGCTCATTGATTCTGCTCCTCGACTGAAAGTTGAATTGATTATTCTACTTGAGCAAAAATCGAAGGGCCACTACGAGAGGATGCATGCTCGGAAGCATCTTTTCTTACTGAGCTGCTGAACCGCCAGCATGGAGACTCTGCCTCCCCTTGTTGAGACATTGGCTCTACCCCGCTGACCATAGATGGAATCAGTGTCGTTCAAGAGATCAGGATCAAGCTCGACTTCTTCCTAGCGATCACTATCGCACTAGCCTCTACAGCGTACAGCTGTGGTCGCATGTGCATCTGCCAAAGGCTCGCCCACGGCACAGTTCAGTTACCTCATGGTACAGCCATCCAGCACAGAAGTCACACACCATGCAGAGAAAAGCCACCTCGACATTAAAATATAATTGACTTGCTGTGGCACTGCATATTCTAGAATTTTGCCGCCCGTCAGAAAATCTCAGTCCTAGGGACTGCACTATAAGTGTACAAGCCGTACTGCGCTTCTACACCGTCTCCTCGGATAACAGATCCACTGCACATTCAGTGCCAAGTAGCCGTAGCATCTCTTGACCGTTAATGCGAGCTTGTACACGTGAAAAAGTGACGCCTGGTGAGTACCCGGCTGCGGCTCTAGCCTCTGTAGCTCCTTCTTCGCGCCAGAGCATGCGTGGTGGTTTTTCGTGTCCCTGCTGCTGAAGTTTTTTTTGCCCAGCAGCACGCTTCTGCTTGTTCCTGCTGCTTACGTTCTTTGACATTGTGCATGCGCCTGCATTTGGGAATTACCTGGCACAGTCTTTCACAATGGACACAAGAGCGTTCTTAGATTACTGCATAAAAGCTTTTAGTGACGCGGATGCCTTGTGGCCCTCCTTTCTCGCTCACCATAGCGCAGACTGTAGGCTGGGGCCGATGGACACCGTCTAGATATCCGTAGAGTTACAAAAATTTGGTAAGACTCTTTCCTTTAGCTACAGACCCAGGAGCTGCGCTCTTGCGATGCTGAAATATCGAAGAGTCCAACATGTGTTGAAGCCCTACCGGTCGTTTGCTAAGTCAGTTTTGCGAACCCTGAGACCACGTAAACGGACACGTCGAGCACACCAAAAACGAGCCACTGGTAGAGCAATTGTCCGTAGAAATAAGGCTTTCGCGAATCCAAAGCTTTATGTTTCTCTATTTACTGATCAATTGATAGATTCCCCAATTTCCGCTTTGGCAGTCCTTCCAAAGCGGAAATTGTTATCGGCAAACACAGCGCACTCAGGGATTTAGGAAGGCGTAGATTGTAATACTTCATACAGGCAAATATATGTCTCCACAGGAATAGAGCAGCCGTCAAAGCGTTTCCCCCCCACAGCAAACATGCTACAAGAAGCACTTGTGTAGGCTTTTTTGGGAGCAACGCACCAGGATACGTCAGCAAATGGCCGATAAAGACTTTGGATACTTGCCCAACGTTACAGCTGTCATACTTTTCTGGCAGGCATAACCTCATCGACACATCCATACACATTTTATCGACTGACACAACAGGTATTGTGCCACCTTTTGCTTGCTGCACGAGACTTTATTTTCAGACTGTCGCCGAATAGAATACGCTTGCTGGGACACAAAATTACTGGAAAATACAAAGGTTGCATGGGAACCTGACATCCAACTGCACTCCACAGTCAGTGGATGGCAAAAGAACAGATGCATCGAACCGTGCGATTCTGCCAACCATAACTCTCCATCCAAGGTCTCCGTAGGAAGATATGTATCTCCAGATTCAATTCAGTTGAGTGTCTCCCAAAAGGATTATTGCCTCCTTTTGCCCGCGCCCCTCAGGGACGACTTGCGAAGAGGAGAAGAACGTGGTGGAAAGGCTTCCTCAAGTCACTCCGCGCATTGATGTCTAGTTGCACATAGCATCTACAGCACATAAACACAACATTCCGACTTTTTGTATGGCTCTAACACTACTCTGCAACAAATGAGATACATCTACAGATAAAGCAATTACTCAGTTCCTCCTGATTCTTGCTTAACTCTAGCCAGTGTCGTAGAATTTTTCAGTGTAGCACACCCAGCAACAGAAGGGACATTGGACTCTACTTCATCCGCCACAGTTGGAGCTAGTGGCATTTGGACAGAGAGCTCCTATTTGTACTGTCATTCCTTTTCTGCTGTCACTAATATTTGTAGCAGCCTGACGGCGACATGCTTAAAATCCGTTGGGCCAAATGCGACAAAGTTCTGGTTGTCCCATCGTGAAGGTGTCATAAATTAAAATCATGCATCGCATGCGCCTTCGCTAGTTCCGGCCTAAGGTTGAATCCAGCGGCTGCAAATTCGGAACCTTCTAGTATGTTGCCTGTAGGGGCAAACCTGCACCTCGGCACTTCCTAATGAACTAGTATTGTCAATGTGGGGAATTAATAAACAGCCCACGATTGGCTTTGGCTATTTGTTTGTCTTATTGATTGCAAGGCAGTGTGAACTTAAGAAATAGCAGCCATTGCTGTACGCGTGTTTGCTTGGTGGTTAATTAATCTACCTGTATGCTCGCCGAGTTAAAAGACTGCAGCAACGCACACCACAGCTGTTCCTCTCCCACGAGCCATGTTTTGTGTTAGAGTCCCAAGCTAAGTTTTCCCTTAAGTCGACCATAATTTGAGAGCCACACCGCCACTCTGGAGTCGGAGAGCATTGAGACTGTGCCAGCATGAATAACTTTTTGTGCTCCTTGTCAAGAGGACAGATCCCCTTCCCTTGCTGTTTACAGCAACGCTAGCAATCCTCAATCTTCGAAGGAAGCTGTTCCTTTTCGCTGGTCCACAATTTTCTGTCGAGCAGTTGCTCGCATCGCACTACTCACTTTGTTCAGGTTCATTAGTTTCTTGATGGACTTTACTGTTCTTTATGATGCATCCAAACCGGACAATCAAGGCATTTTGCACGGATGAAGATCGGTACTCCGGCAACCAGTAGCAATACTGAAGGGCAATTGTTAGCGTAGTCAGCAAACTGAGGATCCTCATAGCTCAGGACGATCAGATGCAGCAGGAGCAACTTCAAAATATTGCAGCTAGATGAGGGCTAATGCGGCACCGTGTATCCCAAAGAGTCCTGTCTACCCACGCAACTACTCTCAGGAGAGCACGTGGTACAGGGCAGGCGTCCCACACTGCATCCGTGGGAATGCGCTTTCCACTCCATCGTGTTAATTAGGCTTGCGATGTTCGGGGATAGATGCTTCGCCAGTTCAGCAATAAGTTGCAGCTTGAACAGACCCCCAGTCGTCTTTTAAGCTTGCACTTAATTTCAAGGGGTAAAGAAAGTGCAAGCCATTGAGAACCACTGCTCACGCGAAAGGGGAAGGGCTAAGGTTGGGCCGACCCAACCGCCACATTTTGCTATTGCTGATACAAATTATGAACTATTCACGTTAGGGCTAGGGAGATAGACCGGTATCTATACTCCTGAATAGCGCAGATCTTAGGTAGATCGCACTCTGGTTATGCAGCTCTCTTCGCCATGTATTCCTCGCCCTACAAGCTAGCTAGATGAGAGAACAGACAAAGCTTCGTCTGCACATTGCGTCCAATGGGAAATAGAGATTGAAAGAAGACATTGGGCAGTGCTGCTGCAACCTTGCAGGCACACGTCCAAAACAACATTATACAGAGCCGGGAGAGCGCTCACCATGGGACGACAGCACCTATATTCCCTATGTATGATTCTAAAATTAGGCTAGTGAATACGGAAACTCAAAGAGTGAGACACCGCTGCGATGGGAAAGGGGCAGCAAATGATCACTCGCTGTCATCCAATCTGGGTAAGTTCCTGCCTCCGTCTAGTAGACTCGCTTCATGGGGGGCACTGCCTCCATCTCTTTGTCGAGGGGCTGCGCCTTTACGGGCCGATAGGCCAGTTCGAACTGCAGAAAGCAGGTCACACCGCGATTCGGTCTGTACATGCATGAAACTCATGCGCTCGCAGTATGTACAGCGGTCACTACCAGAATGCAGCACCAACAAGCAGTGAGCCAGCGACAGCATCGGCAGAAGTGTCGTTCGTTGCGTATCGATGTATCTGCCCCTTTCATTGGTAGGGAGGAGAGGTATCGACGTGTTAAGCTCTACTCCTCCAAAGGCACGTGGAAGGGCAGAGAGAGAAACAGCAAGGCCAAGCGGTCTGGTATACGGCGGACAGACGCAAATTGGAATTTCCATCCGGTGAGCAAGTGGCAGTCCCAGGCAGGGTGTACAGAGAGAAGTTGCGAGAACCGACAAACACAAAGCTTGCCGTTACCAAGCTCCTACCTTAGCATTCTCTATATCTCTGCCTCTCTGATAGGAAAGAGTGTGCACCATCCATTCTTTGTCGTCTCGTTCCTAAAAAAGCAACCCCAAATCCTAAGCCTCAAGTACGCAGTGTCAATCCTGTGCCTTGAAGGGCATGCAGCGCAAAAACCTAACTCCCAAGCATTCCGCTCACGGGCCCAACTCGAAGTCAAGATTTTTCGAGTTCCCTAACTCAACACCACAAACTCTTAGCCGTGAAGCTCAACCGCTGTGGCGTGGAGGCTAACCTTGAAGTCCTCTCGAGCATGCGCTCCGCGGCTCTCCTGGCGGGCTCCCGCACTCACAACCGTCTGGACAGCCTGCGTAAGGAGGTTTTCCAATTCAAGTGCTTCCATCAGATCCGTGTTCCTGCACGCAGCAAGCGTCGAGGAGGGAAGACGCTCGAGCACCTGGCGCGTTGAGACCGCTGTGCTACACACTACCCCGCACTGGGAAGAAAAGGCTCACCGCAGAAGGAGAACATGCACACAGCAGCACATATACACACGGGCAGCTGCAGCGGCAGCAGGGCATTGATTCGCAAATTGTATATAAGCACAAAGAGCGAGTGCGATTGAGCAAGTACGCCATAACGAGCGATACAGGCACCCCCACTACTCACAAAAAAGATGCCGTCAAATGACTCGCACACCCAACCGCCCGATCTTTGCAGCTAGTTGCAAGGGGTTTTTCTTTTTACCAGGCCCTCGACTTGTCCACAATACGGATGTCACCGAATTGAGCGGCGATTTCCTTAATCTTCTGAGCACCCTCCGCCAACACAGGGCCGGTGCGAAAGACTGCGGCGTGGTCCTGCATCGTCTGCATTGCGCAGGAACAGAAACGCAACACCTTCTGGTTGCAGCAAAGGAGGCAGCAAGGCTCCCGCTGAGCAGAAGTCACTCCAGAGCTACTACCGATCACAAACAGCGCGACAACAGCAGCAGCAGCCCCCACGGCAGCAAAACGGAGGCGGCAGGACGCAGTCACAAGATCAACATCATGAAGACGACAGCAGCAGCACCAAGAGTTACCTTCTGCATCATGTCTCGAAGATGAGCGGGCGTGATAGAGCCGCGATTCTCCTTGAGCTTGTCGATGCGTGCTAGAGTTTCCTCCCCAGCATCCGCACGGAGAGCGGGCTTTGGGTTGCCTACAAAAGTACATCATCTCACCAAAGAAAAAGGAGGCAACATCGAGAAGAAGAGACAGGCAGTCCTGCTGTGTGGAGGAGACCAAGCACGCAACGAGATGGCGAGATTCGCAAAACCACCGCTATACAGCTGCCGGTTGAGGCTTTTTTGCTTTGAAGAACAAGGACTAGCAGTTGCTGTTGTTGCTGCTTCTAAAAGAAAATAAATCAGCATCGCCGCATTCCACACTGCATGTACAAGAAAAACGATCGCATTTTCAACTTCAGGCACCCCCTAGAAGGGCAAGCGACAGCCCCTATCGACGCCAAGTCTGCATCCCTGCTGCTATGACGCTTCAGTGAGCAGATTGTGAGCTGCTTGCGTGATCCGCACTTTTCTTAACCTTGTCAGCAATGACCTCCGCGGCTTGCCTCCCAAAAACAACAAGATCTAGCAGGGAATTTGCGCCTAAGCGGTTTGCCCCGTGGACGGAAGCGCAAGCTGCTTCTCCAGCAGCGTACAAACCCTCCAACACGCTTTCGGAAGCTGCAGACACCATAGGTCGAACACCTGACCTCCCGCGCGCCTCATTACTCGGTACAAACGACAAGGCAGTGCCAATGTTAGGCACTAAGAAGGCACAGCACACGTCATGAGAAGCCTCAACTAAAACGTGGCGAAGCCTTTCAGGCTACCGATTAAGAAGCCCCACGCACATCAATTCACAAAACACGGGCTGCGAATCAGAATACTAAAGCCACACCCCTTTCACTTTCGGAAGAACTCCACCAAGCAGCATGTTGCTTCAATGGAAGCACCATTACGAAAAACCACGGACTGCAGGAAGGAAAACGTTTAGGAACTGTACGTAGTTCAGTCCGAACACACGCATAAGTGAACATCTACAGCATATCCTTCTATATCGTAATATACAGATATATAGATGAATATATATGAATACATATCCATAGATATGTATATAACTACATATACATGTATATATTTATATATACATATATATAACTATATACACATATATATAACTACATGTACATATATATAACTGCATATACATATATATAACTATATATACATATATATAACTGCATGTAAATACATATAAATATATATTTACACATGTATCCATATATATATATAGAAGCGCTGCTGTTAGTCCTGCCGTCCATTGTTACCCATTCTGCCGGATCCTTTTACGCAGTGCAGCACCTCAGAGCGCCAGTTTGTCGGTATTCCTCCCATGTTGTAGTGGACAGTCGGCAACACGGGAATGGGCTGTTTTGTCACATCGACCCCTGCACAGCGCAGCGATCGGCATGGTGCACGACAAGGCAGTACTGGCCGATTGCTGCGTAGCTTGAAGGCTGCTGGAGTGTTTCAAGAAGAAGGACGCACAGAAAAGAAAATGCCTGCCCTAGGGCAGCCACAATGTACAAGAGGAGGCTTCTCAACACCATCGGCAAAACAGCAAGCAGTCCTGCACGCAGAAACCTCTGGCTCTGCCCTGCTTGCTACTTGCGCGATCTCTCAAATAGTTCTCGTTTGCCAGTTGCAAACGTTCTGCGCTCTCCTGATTCCCAGCATGCGTTCAACAAGGCCAACATCTGAAAAACTCCCTGCATCTATCCAGCAAGCAGCGATCCAATAACATGCACGTACCGGCAAAGATCTTGGCAGTTTCGGTAATGCCAGGAAGTCTCGCATGCAGTGTTTCCGGGTCGAGGTGAGTAAGATCTAGGTGGCAGTGGTCCTTCTTTGGACCGCAGCCTCTCCCTAAGAAGACAGAAAGCAACAAACCAGTCAGCTGCCTATCCTCGAGGCTTTAAAGGGCCTTGCTGTCTCACCGACACGGGGAGAAGACGCAAACAGCCGCAGATGCAGGCAGAGGGCAGCGGGAGCAACGGGGGAGCAACGCAGCAAACGCCCCTGAAACGAGAAAGGGAAAAACAAACCTTCCCGGATTTCGATCGTCATCGAACGAGACACCACGTCGCGGCTCGCCAAATCCTTGGCAGTTGGAGCATACCTATGAAACGCACTCGCATGCTCTCAGCCCGGCCCACGAACTTCAAGCTGAGACTCTGGAGCTTCTACAACACCCCAAGATTCTGCAGAGAGCGCCTCCAAACAAGGCCTTTCAGCCATGGCAGCCCTCTAGAAACACCCCGCCACGCAGCCTTTATCCACCAGCCTCAACCGTGAACGAAAGACCTTTACCCCAGCCAGAGTCTCACCGAGCCATGAAGGCTTCTCCCTCGCTGTTGCGGAGGATGCCGCCTTCTCCTCTGCATCCCTCCGTCATCAGGCAGCCTAAAAGAAAGCCCCCAACGCACCGAACCTCGGACAGTCTGCATCCCGCGCAAGTCTGCTAGAATGCAAGCTCGCGGCGAGCTCCAGCCAAGAAGAACCCCATAAACGACTGCTCTTCACGACAAGCGAAGCAAAAAGTGACAGTCTTGGCTTCGACGCGTGTGCTGACACACACGTCTCCCAGCAGCTACCGGCGCAGTCTTCCGCTGCATGCCCAAGAAAGTGTGTAAAAAGGGGGGCCCCAGACGGTTTAATATATTCTTACCAGCCGGGAAAATTCCAGTAGGATGAAACTGCACGAACTCCAAATCCTGCAAAGCCAGTCCTGCACGGGCAGCCATCGCGCCTCCGTCTCCCGTGCAGGTGTGCGCTGAAGTGCAGCTCTGGTATGCTCGGCCGTAGCTGCACATACACACGTAGATGCATGCAGAGATACACATATATACACAGATACATATGCATATATAGATACATATACGTAGATACAAATATATACATTCACACATACATGCACAGATATACATCAGATACAAATACATGAGCGGATACATACATACATATACATCCATAGAAATAAATACATACATACACAAATACATACACCGATACATACACCGATACATATATATATACATCTATATAGGTACATACATACACAGAAAAAACGCATACACAGATACACATTACATACACAAATACACATGTATACATAGATACGAATACATACATGTATACATAGAGATATGTATCTACATATACCCCGGACGAGTCACAAGCCCTAGGACGAGTAGACACAACACCGTGCAGCAGTCTTCGCGCGCAACTAGGAAGCCAACGCAGCACCAGTTAGCCTCGCCGAAGCTGCGCTTCTCGGATTCGAAGCGCAACTGCACTTTTTAGAGGGTAAATCCTCACCCGCCAGTGGCCAGGACGGTGTGGTTTGTTGCGAATCTGTGAATGGAGCCGTCCTCAATACACATCGCCACGACTCCGACGCAACGTGGAGGGCCCCCAGGGATTTGCGACGGCTCCATGATCAAATCTAGCGCGAAGTATTCTATGAAGAAGTTGCACGAGTACGACAAAGCCCGCCCGTACAGAGTATGCAGCATTGCATGGCCTGCAGCGTTCGAGGAATAGCACCCAGCATCAGCAGACTTGCGTCGAGGAGCGTAGGAAGGTGCAAGGCAGCCCTTCGCGAAGGCAAATGAAACATGAAACAAAAGCGCATCGCTAGAACTAGCTCCGAAAGCGGCAGCCCCCACAAAAATTCCCTAATTCTGTCTCTCAGACATCCACCCGTGTAAGTCACCAGTTCTGTCCGCAGCAGCGGCGCATCTGTAGGCTTGTCCACCCTTCCCAAACTTCAAGGACTGCCCGCCGAAGGCTCTCTGTAGACAAAGCGAAGCCGCAAGTCGAGCCTTCCGGCGACGCGTACGCAGCTCTTAAACGCCACCCTGTTGCTCCCTCCCCCTACCGATCCCCCACTATTCTCTCCCCGCCCACAAAAACAAGGACAAACGCAAACTTCCGATGCCGTGCCTGGTAAATCTTGCCATCCTTAGTTCTTGAGAAAGGCAAGCCATACGACTCCAACTCGCGCACCACACGGGGGGCCTCTCGACACATGTGTTGAATGGCATCCTGAAAACAGCCGATCTCAAAGAAGAGCCTACACCCACACATCCTGACTTCCAGAAGCCTGACAACAAAGGCAGCTGCACTCCCTCTCCCGCTCCTCTCCCTCCCGCTCAACATCTAAATGGACGGCGGCTTGCCTGGTCACCAAGCCAGTCTGAGCCCTTGACTGTGTCGAACGCATGCCATCTCCAGTCATCCTACGACAAAAAACCATGCACGCCTCCTTTCAGCAGTGCCATCACAGCAGCAAGGAAAGCCGTCCGTCAAGAGCTACTTGAAAGAGGCATTTCCTGCAGCAGCCTGCCTAGTAGCGCAGCACACTGTGCCCTCCACACAGGACGGGCGGCAAAACGCAGATGCTCGCCAGGCACTCGCATTTTGCCTGCTGGAATTCTGTACGGCCGAACTGGCCTCGTCACCAGCCCCTAGCCAGCTAGCGCTGCAAGCTATCCATCCCTCCAAATCGCGCGTTAAAAGGTCAAAATGCCAACCTTCAAGCCTGCTGAACTGCCGACAAGAAGACCTCCACGCTGCTCGAGCGAGCGACGAGCGCCACACCTGCATCCTCCTGCATGGACTATTCAGCTGCGGGGTGATCACTATCCCTACATCGCTCGGTTCTCTAGATATCGGGAAGCAGCGCGAAGCGAGCAGTCAACCGTGCAAACTATCGACACACCTCGCACATATTCCCGAGGGCTGCGTTGATGCCTCCCTGAGCAGCGACGGTGTGCGAACGTGTGGGGAACAGTTTGCTGATGCATGCCGTTCGCAAGCCTGCAGCCACCCCAGCACAACGAGCTCCAGGCTTTAGCCACGCGCGCTAGTCGCAGCACGTGGGGAGAGAAGTCTCAAGAGCAGCTGCAGTCAAGAGGCTCTGCCGCAAGGCGCAGAGCACCCGAGGAGCCCACCATGGCTTCCAGCCAATGAGTCGAAGCGGGAGCAGTAAAGCCGCCTCATGCATCTGCCACCTACCTTGAGAAGCAAGGCCAAATGCCGCTCGAAGGCCAGCGCCTCCAGCCCCTACAACGACCGCGTCATACGTGTGTGTGTTCACCTCGTAGCCTCCTGCAAGCGCATGGGAAGGAGGAGGAGTAGCGCAGCGATGCTGCGGGATTGCTGGAAGCCTCAAGGCTGCTGCTGCGGGGTGCTAAGAGCCGCAGCTGGTGCTTCGCAGTGGCAGGCCGCCAACATACCTATCTTTGAAATGCTCTGTGCTGGGGTGGAGAGAGTAGACAAACAGGCAACCCGCATAGAGGCGCCGCTGCTGCTGCTGCCGCATGCAGCAGCAGCAGCCACCCTGCCCGAGAGACGCCTCTGAAACGCCGTTGCGAGCATCATTGCGGATGCCCAGCAGAAACAAGTAGAGCAGAGAGAGGACGAATAGGTCAAGAAAATTCTTTGATTTATCTGCCGCTCCTGCCGCTGCTGCTCTGTCGCTGCTGCTGCCGGAGGAGCCTGGAAGTCGAAGCAGTGTAGCGGCCGCTGTGTGTTTCTCGAGACCACGAAATTCCCGCAACGTGGAGTTGGCAGTCCCTTCCGTCCCTAGCAGCTGTCGCATGCAGCTGCGTGAGAGCTCGCAGCGGCAGCTGCCAGCCACCGCGACTCTTGGGGCTGCAGCAACAGCCGCTGCCCTTCGAGCAGCAGCTGCAGCAATGGCACTGGTGGTCGCTGGCGTAGGAGCGTGTCTTCTGTTTCCTCGTAATTTGAAGTCTTCTTCTTCGGTGTGCCTCCCCTATTCCGCCGGAAGTAGCGGAGCCAATGATCCAGAACTTGTGGGGTGCACGCCGCGCAGCGTCAGCAGCTTCGAGGAAAAGGAGGGCTTTTACTTCGTAGGTGTTTGGTGCCCAGTGTCGGATGAGAACGGAGGATTTCGAGCATTTTTCGAGGCTCCCCTGCGCCGTGAACAGCCCGGCGGAAGCCTCGACACCAACGAGGCGCCGCCTCCGTAGGTAGGCGGAGGAGTTACAGCCCAGACGGCAGCAGGTGCAAGCAATGCGATTTGGAAAAGATTTGCCACAAAGCAGCCCTGGCAGCCGTCCATGCGAGGCGATAGCAGAAAGCAGTCAAGCTGCACAACTCGACGATGAGGCACGATCAGCGGGGGCAGCAGCAGCAGCGGCTCTGGCTGCTCCCTCAGAGGCGATCGGAGACGCACCAGCAGCCGCGGATCTTCTTCAGGCCGACGACTTTGAACATGCAGAGTCTCTTTACGACCTCTCCGATGCTGCTGCAGAGGCGTTTCTAGAGCACCAGCTGAAGAGGGGGGCAGCAGCGGTGACAGCAACAACTCAGTCAAACAGACAGTTTCAGCTCCTGTTGCAGCACATGCCTGAGGGCCCTAAAGCCGCGGCAGCTGCAATATCAGCGCAGCGCAGCAGCAATCCCTGGGAACGTTCTTCCGACGTGCAGCAGCACCCGCAGCGGCTGTCCGCTTGGGAAGTAGCTGCAGCATCAGTATCAGCATCATCAGCATCATCATCATCAGCAGCAGCAGCAGCAGTATCAGCATCATCAGCATCATCATCATCATCATCATCAGCATCATCATCATCAGCATCATCAGCATCATCATCATCATCATCATCATCATCATCATCAGCATCATCATCATCATCATCATCATCATCACCATCATCAGCATCATCAGCATCATCAGCATCAGCACCAGTCCCTGGTGTACAGACACGGCGCTCAGAGGAGGCACAGGCTGCCACCAACGACAGCACAGCTGCAGCGTCCGAGAGTACCAGCACAGAAGAAGCAGCAGCAGCGGGGGGAAGCGTTTCTTTCAAGGATCTCGGAGTTCTTGCCTCTTTGCTGGAGGCTCTTAAGGCTCAAGGATATCGCATTCCGACTCCCGTCCAGGCTGCTGCTCTGCCTGTTACTTTGGCTGAACATGGTGCGCATGCGTGGGGTTGTGTGATAGTGCCTCGAGGCGATTCGTTGTCGCGTCTTTACCTTCTCCCAGCCGCTTTCCTTGGCGTCTTAAGCTGCATCGGTTGCCCTTTCTTCTTGTATCTAGCGCACTGCTAGGCGCTGCTGCCTCCTTCCTCCAGAAAGGGAGGAGAGAGGGGGAAACTTTGAAGGGCGTCGAGGCAAGCTGCTCGTGTGGGGTGGGTGCTGCTGCGTCTCGCTACGCTTTGTGCAGACGCGGTAATCCAGGCAAAGTCTGGTACGGGCAAGACAGTCGCCTTTGCAGTGCACGCCCTCCAGCGGCTGTTGCTGGCGGCTGCTGCCTGGGAGACACCCCCTGCCACAGCGGCTGCAGACTGCTCCCCAGCTCTTCCTGCTGCTGATCGAGCAGCATCAGAACCAGCGGCAGCGGGCGGCTTCTTCGGCTTCGCCCTGGTCATAGCTCCTTCACGAGAGCTGGCAACGCAGACGGCCGCTGAGATGCGTTCTCTTGCTCAGCATATTCCCCACATCGTATGCGCGCGTAAACCTTAAGCCAACTGCCTAGCCGTTTTAGCGCCTTGCATGCAACGCATCTAGCCTCTCAGCATGTCTCCGTGTGTGAGAAAAAGCGCTCGTCTACTCGGCTCTGCTGTCTCCCGCCACAGGGCAGCCCGCTGCTGCTGCGTTGAGGCTTTTCCCGCGAAAAAGGCCTTTTCCTCCATGTGCGTGTGGGGTGTGCTGCGCTGTACACAGCACATCGGCGTCTGCTGTCTGCTCGGAGGCTTTGCGCTGAACGTCTCGAAGCAGGAGCTCTCCAAACGCCCACAGATTATTGTTGCCACCCCCGGTAATAAGCAATCTGGCCATGTCGGAGCTCTCCGACCTTCTCTTAACACACAGTCCTTCTCTCCCCCTTCCCCTTCCTCCCCCCTCTCAACTGTACTGGCCGCTTCGGCTGCAGCCACACAGCAGTGCGCGACAGGCTCTGCCTGCGATCATACCGTTTCCGCCTCCTCCGCTGCACTGCAGACAGTGGCTCCCCCTCTCTTACGCGCATAAGAAGTTGGTAGGACACACTTGCGTCTGGCTGCGACTGCAGGGCGTCTGCTGCTGCTCTTGAAGCGTCGGAGGCAGCAGAAACGCGGTCGGTGTCTCTGCGCAAAGTCGCGCTGGATTGCGGACGCTGCAAAGGCCGTCGCCGATGCGTCAGCAGCTGCTGCTGCTGCTGCAGCCACAGCAGAAGCTGCTGCTGCAGCCACAGCAGCACCATGCGAAGAGCTTTCTGAGGGGGCAACACAAGGTCGTGCTGCTGCTGCAGATGCCGCTGCGAATGCTTGTCTAGACGCTGAAAACACCGCCACGTTTGCTGCCAGTGCAGAAGCAGCAGCCGTTGCAGCCGCTGCCCTCTGTTCTTGCAGCCACAACGTGCCGCTGCAGCAGCAGCTCAAGCAGGAGCTGCGTGTGGTCATTCTAGATGAAGCCGATTTGCTGCTCGACACATTCTTCCGACCACAAACCAAGTCTGCCTCCACCTCTTGCACTTTGTTGAAGCGAGAGAGTTCTTGGCCTTCGCTGCTAAGCCTCTTAAGGGCACAGCCTCTGTGTGCTACAGCGCTGCTGCGAATTGCCTCGTGGGGGGATGAAAGGCGGCGAGCGCTGGCTTGCATTCTCGTGCTGACTGCGCGCTGTCGTCGCTGCTCTCCATCAATTGCTGTTGTCTGCTCTCTTCTCCCGCCTCAGAATTTGGGGTGTCGGAGGAAATGCGCGTGCCTCCGCAGCTTTGGCAGTCCTTTTTCGCCCTGCAGCGTTGTGTGCTCAGAGAAATTCTCGACCGCGTGTTGCATCCATCAGCGCAACTGACGGCCTACTCGGCAACGTTTGCTCCTCAGCTGCTGCATTATCTGGAAGAGGAACTGCTGCAAGATGCAGAGCGACTTCTTCCTGTCTCTGAGGCAGACACGCCGCAAGAAATCCAGCAAAGCGTAATCAAGGAATGCAGCGAGCAGCGTCTCTCGCTTCAACCGAGGGCATTGTGGCGAGTAATGCTTTGCGCATCGCGCGTTCGGTTCGCTTCCACTCCCAGCTGCGAAGCAAACGTTAGCAGCAGCAGCAGCAACACTGGCGGCGAAGCAGGCAGCGGAAATGCGAGTGATGCGAGTCGTGGCAGCCGCGATGGCGGGCCGAGCGTCTTGTCTTCAGGGAGGGCAGCAGCAGCAGCAGCGCCTGAGCCGCAGCAAGAGGAACTGATGGAGTTAAAGCCGAAACGCTCAGAAGATCATGCAGCCCCCCCCCCTGTGCCTTCGGGTTCGACGCATGCATGCATGCTGCTGTTGAGAGGACTGTTGCGGGTGGTGTTAAGCTGATGGCAAGTGTCTCGCTCTTCCAGAAGACTCTCTTTGCTGCGGGACGACTCTTTTGTTGCTGTGACAGGCATCATCTACGGTCTAATGGAGGTGCCACCTGCCGAGCAATCTGGCTTGCGCGTTTTGAGCATCAAGCTGCAAATGCTGCTCGACGTTATAAGCCGCATCTACTTCCGCCAAGCTGTCATATTTGTCAACGAGCCCCTCGTGTAAGCGTTGAACAACTTCGCTCTTGAGGGTGCATGCCGTCAGAAAGCTGCTGTCTAGACACCTCCTCCCAACACACCTGCATACGCGCACAGGCGGTTCTTTGCGTGTTCTGTGGAGGTCGCTTGTGGCATTTTTTTCAGCGGTGCTCAAGTCGCACAGAGCCTGAGGCGCTTTGGAATCACTTCGGTTTATACCAGGTGATGTATATATATATATATATACTTTTGAAGGCGAACGGCTTTGGGGTTAGGTCGTTAGTAGGCCCCTTTTTGTGTTTGTGTTTGTGTGTGTGTGTGTGTGTGTGTGTGTGTGTGTGTGTGTGTGTTGGCGGCGGCGGCGTAATAATCCTCACAGGCCATTCCTTTTGTTGTATAAAGCGTAGATGCTCGTATCTATCCCCGCCCTGCATGAATCCAAAGCTCCTATAATATCTGTGTTGATTTTCAGCGGGAGGCTGCCGCAACGGGAGAGAAACAAGCGTCTGGCTGCCTTAAAGCAGTTCCAGTGCAGGGTGATGGTTTGTTCGGACTTGGTAAGTATGTGGGGTTCTCGATTTCAGCCTGCAGAGAGGGGAGAGAGGTGGCGATAGGGAGAGAAGGGGGGGATAGGTGTGCTGCTTTTCCTGGGAGTAGCTAGCTAGCACTTGAGGGTCTATCGCCAAGACAGGCAGGAGGGCTGCCTACGGCTATCATGATCATGTTAACGGCTTTCCTCACTCTGTGTGGGCGCAGATGAGCCGTGGCATCGACGCCATTGGCATTGACTTGGTGATCAACTTCAACCTCCCCATGGTCTGTCTTGAGGCTGCGTGCTGTCGGTGTTGGTGCAATTTTCGCCAACTGTCTCGTTGCGGGGCCAGTGTGGGGTGCTGTTGAGGTGTCTGTACGGGGGCTTTGTGTGTGGTTTTGGTGACAACGCGAGGAAGGAATCGACAAGGCTCATGGCAGCGATTTTGAGCATATCCAAGTAGCGGCCGTCTCTTGATGAGATTGCATCGCCTTGTCGCAGTTTTTTTGCTCCTTGATGAGATTGTATCGCCGTGTTGCCCTTCATCACCTCTTGATGAGATTGTATCGCCTTGTTGCCCTTCTTCGCCTCTTGATGAGATTGTATCGCCTTGTTGCCCTTCTTCGCACGCCTTTTGCATGCGCATGCGATGTCATTTGGATGCTCAGGATAAGGACACCTTCTTACACCGGGGAGGACGCGCCGGCCGGTACGGGAGTTGGGGTGTGTGTGTCTCTATCGCCTCTTCAGACGAAGCAGATAGCTACCGCTACATTGCAGCGAGCTACGGAATCACACTGCACGCTCTACAAGACATCGAGCAGCTACAGGCTGTTTTGAGGCCAGAAGTTCGAGCGTTGCGAGCTCCTGCGAATGCTGCCGCTACAACCCTCAGTCGTGCTGCCAACGCGCATGCCAGCGCCGCTGCTGCAAGCGATGAAGTGGTGCCAGCAGCGGTGGAGAGGGGAATCGAAGAAGGCCAACACGAGCACTCAGAGGATCAACCCGACAGCAACCCCCTGCAGCGGCAGCATCAGCAGGAGCAGCAGGGGGAAGATCCGCAGCAAAGCGATTCGCGGCGATGTGGGGCAGTGACGGCTTGTCCACGTATCGAGCCGTTCCCAGAAAATGCGGGAGATGCAGTACGACAAAAGCTTAGTGCCTCGTTGCAGCTGCCGCCAATGCCCTCCTCGGCGAGGAACTCCTTTACTGCAGGAGACACACAACAACAGCAGCAAGAACAAGAGCAACAACAGCAACAGCAGCAAGAAACAAGACTGCACTCGGCTGTTTGCGACGGCGTGTTCGAAGCTGAGGAGTGTCAGCGTCCTACAGTGCAGGGTAGCGAGTCGTGGGCAACTGCCCCCTCCACAGACAGCGTGCTGCAGCAGCCGCAGCAGCGGCTGCAGCACGAGGAGCAGCTCAAGCAGCAGGAGCGACGTAATTGCAGGAGTCTTCGTGCAGAGAACGGTTCCTCCCTTCGGCTGGGTAGCTCTGTGGACGCTACTGCTGCCGTCCAAAATGCAGCAGGAGGCGGCAGCGCGTGCAATAGAGAACCAGCAGCAGAAGCAGAGGCAGCAGCTAGGGTGCGTGATCAGCCCACGCCTTCGATTGCAGCAGCAGCGGCGGCGATACCAGCAGCAGGGCACCCGAGTATTCCGCGTGCTGCTGATATAGCGGCAAGCGGATCAAGTCTTTTACACGCCATTCCAGTCATCCGCTGCTTCCTCCCAAGGGGAACGCAGGAGCAGGATAGGGTACAGGATCCGGAGCTGTCGCTGCTGCAGCCGGATATGCGTTTTTGCATGCGCTTGGAGGCGCTAGGTCGATGCTCTCTGCATCACTGCGAGCGCCCTCCTCATGAGAAGAGCAGCCCTCGTGAACTCTCCCTCTCAGGGAATGCTGTGTGTGAGGCTGCTGAGTGTCTGCATATCGTGTTGGAGTGCTGGAAAGAGGACTCCGTTGATGACGGAGGAAGGCGCTGTGCTGGGTGTGCTGCTCCAGCAGCACGAACGAGCGCTAAGCGCCTGCTCTTCCTTTGCGTCTCTCATGAGCTGCAAGACGTGACTTTGCTGCAGCCGGAACTAGGGATCGATCGGACGGCAATACATTCAGTGCTTGCCTCCTCTGCTTCCCCGAGTTTCCCCCCTGCTGCTAGCGCAGCTGCGGCTGCATTTGGCAGAGCAGCCTATTTCGTCAGCAGAGAGGACTCAGGAGCCACCTCCCTTGGTTCCGTCGCTTACATCTTGTTCAGACACGTGCAGAAGGCGAGGCGGATACAACAGGGAAACCAAGGGGCCTTTCTTGCAGCTTCAACGACGCGGGTAGAAGACACTCTAGAGGCGCATCGGCGGGAAGTGGTTTTGCTGCGCCAGCAGCAGCAGCAGCAGCTTCGAAGCGTACATAACCAGTGGCTACACGCCCTCTGCCAGCAAACCCTTACATGGGAGCAGCGGCAGCAGCAAGAGGAGCAGCATGAGGCCACATTGCAGCGCTTGTGGGCAGCACACCGGCAGCAGCAGCGGGAGTTCGCCTTGCGGCATAGGCTGGCTATGGAATCTGACGGGGAGGAGACTTTGCGGCAGCAGATGCAGCAACAACAGCATGCCCCAGAAACAGCGCAGCATTTTGTCGTGGCAATTTCTGTGAAACAGCTCCCGTGGCTCCTTGCAGCCTTAGAGCACGCTGCTGCTGCTGCTCGATGCCCAGCAGCAAACACTTCGGGAGCTCCCCTGCCCCTTCCAGCTTTCTCCCTCCACGAGGCGGCTCGTTGGTTTTCGTTCGTGCAGCGCTGCGAAAGGGACCAGGTTGTCTGCAGCAGCAGCAGCCGTAGGAGTGCGGTTGTTGAAGCAAGCACTTAGCAGCACGAGTCACCGCAGCACGAGCAGTGGCAGAAGCAAGGGCAGATCTGGTATCCGCAGGAGGAGCACCTGTCGGTCCAGCACGTGAAACTGTCACACGGAGTTAATGAGGCCGCGTGTCTTCTTAGGGAGACGGGGGAGGCAGCAGCAGGAGAAGGTCGCCCCCCTGGTAGTGTTTTTGTCTATTCTGCTCATTTGCTCGAAAACTGCAGTTGAGGAGGCACACCTTTTGTGACGCTGGTGGTAGGACGCTTCTAGTACGCAGGAGATCTCGACTCCGCCAGTTTTACTGCTGCTGCGGAATTTTAGGGATGCTAAGTTAGCAACAGAGCACATTCGCAGCCCTTCGTACTTGGGCTAAGCTGTGTATGTCAAGTTTTTTTGGTGAACTAAGAGGCAGGCAGGGGGGTGCTCGTCACCTCTTTCTTCAGAGGGCAGATCTATTGGTAGAAGGCTCACCGATACAGCTGTTTTTGCCTTTTGGGGGCCTAGTTTGTGCCCTCGCGGGGTGGGTGTCGAGTCTTATGCCGGCATTTTCTATGGCCCGTACAAAACCTTCCCAAATTCTTCTCTGCTTACGAAGACGAACTGTCCTTAGAAGCGACCTCCTGGGGTCGCTTCTAAGGCGTGTTAGGCACCCCTGTCTTGCGCATGATGGGGAATTTCATGCCGACTACTTGGAGTGGCTGAGCATAGTATAGCATGACACAAATCCGTTGTACGAACTTTAGTGCTGTTGACACCTGCTTGTGCCCCTTGTGTCGGGAAGGCCAGGAAACCCAACAGTGGTAGCTGTCGACCCAGTGCTTGTAGCATAGCAAGGCATACCTAGTTACTCTTCATTACACGGGTAATATTGGATTGGGAGTTAGTGAGGAATTGACTAATTGGTTTGCCTCTTCAGATGTGTTGTTTATTGTGTAGACTACGCTCGATACAATAGGCCGGACTGTTTGTGCATGTTCACTAACTGCAATGTGCAACTAGCTGTGATTGATCGAGTGGGTAAAAGGTGCATCGATGTGCATGCCAGCTGTCCCATTCCCCTGATGTCAGAATTCTGGGGGGTGGGGCTAGGGGAAGGAGGTACCTTTTTTGCCGAACGCCCTTTGATAGAGCATGCATTGCGTCTGGAGTGAAGGGCCTGCCTATATGGTCCTTTGATCAAGCGTTACAGTGCATGCAAGTACAAAGGCTAGCAAATGCCGCAAACGTAATTTTCTCCCTTGAATTTGCATGTCTGAGGCTTTGCTGAAGCGTAGTAGGAGACGGAGTCATTGGTCACCGTCTAAGCAGAAAAGGAATACCTCTTGGAGGCCCACTGCGGCAACATTGCCCAGCTAATTTCACGTCGAACCGGGCCCAGTGATCCTCCCACTTTCTTTCCGCGGTAAAAGCTTCTCTAAGCACTGTCATTAGTCTCGGTACACTAGAGCAAACGATTCGTTTTCATGCACTGCTTGGAAAAGAACACACGTCCAGCTCTTATATCGGGCCCTCGTGCCCTGCAGACCAGTGCATATGGGTATATGCACGCTCTCCGCGGTGCAGCGCCGCAAACGATTGGACGACTAAGAAGCAGTGCAGCCTTATTGTCGGTGCCTATTACTGGCTATGCTCAACAATAACGAGCCGTATGTGAAGTAAAGATTGTCTCTGCAGTGTCCATAGAGGCTCACAGAGCTACAAAGGGGGCCACGTACTCCTCAAGCTTTCTACACGGGGTCATGCATGATGCCCAGGCAAGATACTGGAACATACGTTGGCGGTTTCACCATGTTGGGACTCCGGAGGTGTAGCATTGCGCTGTATTGAGGTTTCATAGCTATATCTTAAGGGAGCCTACTTTTCTCTCTGTTCATGTGCCATTTTAGCGCGGGCAATTTATACACTGCCTCTTTAAGTTTTCGCCCTGGAAGCGCCACGTTCTGTAGGTCCATTGGTTGGGAGGCCACAAAAGCGTTGTTGGACTCGGGCCATTTCATTGCAAAAATGAAGCAATAGCAGGGTGCTAAAAGACTCAATCAAAATTCGCTTGATTTTTCCGTATCTTCAGCACTTCTGTGGCTAGTTTTCATCCTCGAGGAGCCAAATTGAGATGGAGAGGGTAGCAGCACCTGCATTGTTATCGGCGGAACATACGTCAGGCGTTGTCTATCCGGTTAGTTTAAAGAAAAAGATCAGAAGCATTTTACATATGCTGCAACGGATATAATATACACTAACACGCCACTGAAGCGCATAGTAAACACGTGCAGCCACCACACAGAACCACTTTCTGCTGCGGTGTGGTACACTCCAGTGGTGCGGCCCCACAGTAACACCACCAGCTCCTGGCGGCCCGGGTTTCTTCACTGCCACTTATTTGTTTGTCCTTTTTCTTTGCACATGTCATAAAGGTCTCTTATTATTTGTACTCTCTGAGAGTGTTAGTCAGACAATCAAAATATTGGAGTGTGCATCCACCCTTTACCACCTCTGAACCTGCAGGTGTTTGTTTGCACGCATTTGTGTGCGTGCTCTTTAATTGACCAACATTGATGTTGACCAACAATAATTGCGTTGTCTGTCCTCTTTTTTGTTTGTCTTTTCGTTGTCCATAGCTCTCTTTTTATTCGGCCTTGTTTTCTACCAATTGTCACTTCCCTGGATATCAGGGGCCGCGTACGATGTCTAATGCCTATGTTTCTTCGGTCCTACCAGGGGTTCACTCCGTGCCGGCTACTCCTCCTGAGGATGTGACTGCTCCAGGGGATGTGGCTCGCTCTAGCAGCACGTTGAGGCCCAAGGAAAAGCGGACGCTTTGGATAGGTGACCTCGACCGAGCGGAGGGCCCCGTTGACGACATTTATGTCAAATCTCACATGTTTTATGAATTTTCTGGCTGCATAACTGCTGTTCGTATCTGCAGAGACAGAGTTTCAAGACAGCCAAGCTTCGGATTCGTGGAGTTTGTATCCCAATCACAGGCGCAATATGTCTTAGAGCACATGAACGGAAGACTCGTGCCTGGACGCATGCACAAATATCGGCTCAACTGGGCAAACTTCAATCTCACAGAGACTCCTGAGCCCCGCACGGTGTATTCCCGCCCTGCCCAACTCAACAGGCTCGCACAAGAGAATCCTTTGGAGGGAGCATCTAATGATCCGGGTAGGTGCTTCCACGAAATCTGACTTCCCCACACGAACGAAATCTAAGGCCACATCTGTGCATGAATGTTATCACACGACATTTTCTGGCGCTTATAGAGTTAAAGTTTGGATGCTTTGTGCTTAGGCCGCCGGCTTGGTGCTGCTGCTTCCCGGGGGCAAGCATGCGCCCCTTCCGAGGGCAGTTCCGTTTGGGTTGGAAGCTTAGATCCTGCAACCTGCAGAGAGGAAGTGGAAGAGCTTTTCCATCAGCACTATAATAGCGTTAGCCTGGTTAAGCTCATCATGGACCCGAATACAGGCAGGACAAGCACTAAAATCATAATTGCTGCAGGCATCGCTGGTGCTGATGCAGCTTTTAACCTCCTTGTTCCTGTTGCTCAAGCTGATGTGGTTGCTGCGATTTCATGTTGAACTCCGAAGTCATTTCTTCAACGTCGGCACTGAATCGTCTCTCTTCCCATGTGCTATTCTATTTGCATGTAACAAGACCATCTTTGTAAATGTTTCTGTACCCCCTGACCCTCCGCCACTTTGCCTTCGTTCTGCCCCCTGACCCGCGCCTACCTCTGCTTCCTGTGCATTCCTATCCTTTTCCTCAGGGAGCTGCAAGGGATTCGGATTCGTGCATTTCTCTGATCCTGAGGAGGCGGAACGCTCCCTCGAGGAGATGAACGGCGCGATCTGTCATGGCCGTCGCATTAAGGTAAATCGCTCGAACAGCAGCCGCGGTGGGGGTGGCCCTTACGGAGTGGGTGCTCCTCCGTTCCAGGCAGCCATGCAGAAGATTTATTCGGCAACCTCAGCAGAGGCTCAGCGTCTTGCGACTGAGTACTGCGGGGGCTTCGTTCCCACAAAGAGAAAGCGAGGAGTTCTCACGGGGGGCGACACTGCGCGGATCCTAGTGCGAGGTTTAGACCCCACGTGCACGGAAGAAGAGCTGACACGGCACTTTAGCCCCTTCGGCGAGGTCCTTTTAGCCCGTGTCTCCCAAGGCGGTAAAGGGTATGTCACCTTCGCTGAGGGCCTCGCAGCGACGCATGCACTGCAGTGCATGGAGGGTGCCGCGGTAGGACCAGCCCACGTAGCCGTGGAAGCTGCAAGTACTTTACCGGGAGCCTCATTCACCGATGAAAACCTGGGTTGGGGATCCTCCTACGCAGCGGCAGCGATGAGCGACTCCGCAGAGGGCGGCTACCAACACTCCTTGGAGCAGCAGCAACAGCAGCAGCGGCTGTTGCAGCAGCTGCTGCAGCAACAGCACGTGCTGCAAGCTGCCCAGTACATGTATTACTACCAGCAATACGCGGCGGCGTGCCCAGACGGAGTGGCTCGAGGGGCCTTAGGGATGAACGGAGCGAAGTCGCGTGCGCGGCGAATCTCCGCCAGTGAAGAAGAGATTTGTGGGGGGCTCTTCAGAGATACAGACCCTTCACTAGTGCCCCCAGAGTTTCTGCCGCGCTGCATGTTTACCTTAGAGGCAACAGGATCCCTTGGGTCTTCTGAGAGGCACGCGTTCCTCTGGAGCCTGCCTTGCCAACAACAGGTAGGAGATGCCGAACCGGAGAAGTTTCAAGCAGCGGCGGTGCATGAGGAGTACGGTGCAGCGCGAGCTGCAATAGAGGGAGCTCTCAGGAAACGAATGAGGGTTAAAGTTGATAGGGGCATCCCTCTGGAGCCAGATGACCTCGAGCGCCTGTACAGCACAGACCTTCAGGAGTCTGCTATCATCTGCTGCTGAGTACTGGCAGTTCTATCCGAGGAGGATCGCAGATGGGATTCAGCCATTGTTCTGCCCCCATCTCTGCCTACGCTTGCTTAGATGTGTGTCTTTATTAGGTATTGTCACCTTTGTCATTTAACATGCGTTTAGAGAGATGTATCTGCGTGCATATCGGGAAGTGCCAATATGCAGATGCATGCATGTGCACGTGTGTCCATATATATGTATATAATATATATAATCCTGCATTTCTTATGCTTCTAGATAAGCATCCATTCGAGAAAATATGTTCAAAGAAGCCAAGTTGGTGCTCAGCAAAAGAAACCAAAGAGTCAGGTACTACCGAATGGACGAGGCATAGCCGCTGTAAATGCAGTGCACTATGCCCCGCAACCTATCGATTTAAACAATCACAGATTTTTGGAAAGGAGGGTATACAGAGAGGTGGATTCAACAGGGGAACCCTGTAGACGAAAAGGAGATGCCCACTAGATGAGGCAACGGGTGCTCAGGGGCCACTGGTGCACAAGCAAGTGCAACGTTCAGATGCGCGCCACTTTTACGAAGCCGTTGGGTTCCTCTTAGTGATTGTACTCACACAGTAGGTAGCCAGTAGAAACGGCTGTTACTGAGGATTTGCACAAATGCATGATGGATGAGGCCTACATCCTCTCCTTGAAAAAGAACTCCTGGCAGCAACCAATAGGGTTCCCTGACGTGCACTGGGCACCACAGCCTCAGGCCCATACTTCATATAGAAGGCCAGGACAATGCAAGCCATTAATGGCATCTAAGAGCCCCCCGTCTGTCCTTATCGGCAAGCACCACCTCTCCTGAGCACGGGGTTGCCTCAGTCGAGGCCGACTGAGGACGATCCAGCACACCCGCCCCACCGTATGTACACTTCATTCGACTGGTTCTTCCGCTATCTGCTTGTCTGTCCCATTGTAGCCCTACGTGCGTCTGCTTGCTGTTGCTCCTGTGCCATTTTCCTTTGCCCCCCTCTGCATCTCTGCCTTCGTCGAGGTCATGCATGAGGGGGAACGAACACTCACAGAGAAAGCCCTAAGGGGCATCTAGAGGAGAGACTTACCGGGCTATCCTCTTCGCCAGTTATCAGTTTCGCACTCATCTCTGATAGCTTCTTGGGTGGCGCCGCCAGCGAATACATAATGACTCCAACCACGCACTAGAATCGCACGCGTACACACCCGTCTGGCTAGTCCGTACAATGTGATCCCAAAGCCAATTGGAAAATATGGACCTTTGAATCTAATCGCACGAGTGTGTAGATACTACAACCTCCGACATAAAGTGTGGCCTTCCGATTTACCGTGACTGCGGAGGCCGCTGTCCAAGGGTTAAGGCACTGGTTGGGCTGGATCTCGCAGAAGAGGAAATGAGAAATGATGAACACCAGGGCAACCTTTAATCCCTGTAGCTCAGCAGACATTTCAGGCGCATCTGCCAGTTAATCTAACGAACGAACTACATTGCGTGAATGTGGTTAATGAAGCTGCCTGACACAGATGTGCAAGAAGCCGCAGCTGCGGCTGCAGGAGCTGCTGCAATATAAGTTACTTCCCCACCTTTAGGATGCCAGTAGACACAGCACCAAAGCTAGACATCAGATACCACAGGGTCCCCGAATGGACCCAGCCAGAGATGAATAGCCACAAGCTGCAACTGGCAACAGTCTGAGACACCCGTAACACTCGCAGCAGCAAAAGCAGCATGTATTTTGCCGATGCTGATCTGACACACTGCTCTTCCGTATTCACTCTCACCGGTTCACTGCGGCACTGAGGGTGCGTAAGCTAAGGCACCTATGCACACACCTAGCTAGAGTACAGCAGTTCACATACATAGGAAAGGCCAGCAAGTATGGCAAGGGAAGACCCACTGTGGCCCTACGGGCAGAGACACATGGGTTATGGTGGGTAAAAGGGGGATGTTAAACTAATTGGGGTTAGGGGGTGCAGTCGGTAGCGTGTTCGGATATACGTGGACAGATCCTCCCTTGGAGCGAATCGGGACAAGGACAACTTCTTCAAACTGTGGCACAGTCCAGATAAGGGTCCACAACGTAATAATCACGCTGCTGCAAATGCTGCAACAACAGATACATACAGAGATAGGTGCTGGTATGCAGATAGCCTTGCGTTCTTATCTGCTCATATCTTTACTATTTCGCGTTAACTTTATGCCATGCATATTTAATCCCGTGAGGATGGAATAGAGGAACTGCGTTCAAATATGAAGCACGCGGATCTAGGTGCTCATCCATACACGTGAAGACAAATGCTGCCGGTTTAAAGGAAGTGAGTCTACTTGATATAATGCGTGGGAGTACGCATACGCTAACAGATCGTCAACCCATGGGAGAAGCATCAATGTATATAGAGAAAGAGGCAAGGAGCTTGTGGAAAGGCTCTTTTTGCTTTCCTCCGTGCATTTGTGGCGTGCGCTGGCCGCTCATTATGCTACCGCAAAACCGTCACGTTACACAGATAGAGCTCAAGGAATCTGGATATTACACTGCATCATACAGTTCATGGCATCAGATCATATGCCTACGATTGTACCAAGGCTTCAAGGGTGTATTTGTGATGCCTATACGGTGTGCTCCAAGCTTTGCATTGTGCGGCATTTAAAGCCTTATACGGCTTGTTACCACTCAGCCGACTGCGTTTCGCAGCCTAGTGCCTTGTAGTGTAGATGTGCAGGCATACCCCATCATGCAGACAAGGTTAGGCCCCTCAACAGGCCTTGACCCCAGCATGAATTTCTCGTTGAGGACGAAGGTCAGGCCCATAAGGATCGATGCCACGAGAATCAATAGAACCCCAACGAACTCTTCGTCATTGAATGCCAAATTTAACTGGCAGGCCTTTAGAGACACCCCGAGGGATATTACAACTATCTGCAGAAGACGCATACGCACACCACCCGTAACACCCAAGTACCGGAGGCGAAGCAAATAGCGGCATGCCCAATAATAGGCAGTAGCCCAACCCCACCACGAATGCCCTACTGAGTAAAAACAACATGCACATGAGGCAAAGATAGTCAAGCCTTCTTCATTCAGCTAGTAGATGTGCATCCAGATGTCCATATATACACATATATATATGGACATCTGGATGCACATCTACTAGCTGGCAGCCAACAGCGGCGAACGCTACGCTGTAAGAAGTGGAGATCTGGCCTCAGCTCGCTCATCGCATCCCTACGCCCAATACCCGTTCCCCTGAATCTGACTGACCGCTAGCCACTGAGTAGGGCTAAGCTTTTTGTTGAGGATGGCAGTAGACCAAACAGCTGTCCACACGAGAGAGGAACTGTCAACGACAATATACACCGCGGCCCCCGCGTAGATGAGCCCCGCTGCAGCAAGCGAAAGGAGCAAGCATAAGGTGACGGTTGGGATTCTGAGGAACTGCAGGTCCATGATCGCTAAAACGCAGATAAAGAAGAGGCGCGATGAATGACGAGCAACAGACTCTTCGAAGGAAATGTAGAAAAGGAAACAGTCGTAGGGGGGGCGGATAGGAAGAAGTGCCCCACAGGCCCAGAGACACGAGGCTACCCGTGACTGTCTAAAATAGGGACAACTAGAAGCATAAGCGTGGAAACGAGCAGAATGTTGGTTGCAAATGGAGAAGACTGGCTCCGTACCCTTCTTGAGGAGCTGATTTACGATATCCAGAAGCGAGACCACGAGACCCTTCCTCCAGTCGCACTCTCTGAGGAACCCCAAGCGGCAGCGTTTCGATAGATTTATTGTGCAGGGGAACGACCTAAAGGAAAGGGGGATGCAGTTTGAAGAGATTCAGAGCATCGTTGAAGGGCTGTGGGGCGGGGCGAGTTTGCTGGTGCTTGCCTGATAGATTGCTTGGTTGGAAGAAGGCCGACCATCATCATGGAGTAATAATGGGGGATGAGAATAGAAAATGTACTCGCCTGCGAAGCGGAGGTAGGAGAGGGCGGTAGAGGCAAGAGGCAAAGGGTGAGGTGAGGTGAGGCCTCGAGGGAGGGAGCGGAGAGAGATGACGGATGCGGAGGGAGAGAAATGTGGCGGTCAGACGCGTAGAAGAACCGCCTCAAAAAGCAACACGCATGTCGGGAGGGTGAGGGAGAGGCGAACGAAGGAATTGAGGCCAAGAGCAGAACAGGGCACACGTAGGGGAGACATGAAAGTGCTGAGAGGCGAGTGCGAGGGAGCAGCACTGAAAAACGCGCAGACACGTCGGGAGCTGGAAACTGAGATGCTGCAAAAGGTATCGAGGAGCACAGCGCTGCGCAAGGCATCTAGGAGCAAGATGCTGCACACAGGACAGCGGGAGGCAAGACAGAAAGTGTGTAGGACGAACGTTGGCGCCACCATTGAATTTCATAAGGTCCACGAGGAGCGGTTGTACGCAGTAGGCGGTAAGGAAGGCAACGACGAGGGCCAGTTGCAGCAGCAAGCGGCCCGAGAGGGCCCCGCTTTGTTTCATGGCTTTGTCTAAAGTACACGAAAAGGGCTAGCGGTGAAAATAATGCGCGAGAGGCGTCCGGTGCTGCTGGCTGCAGCAATGCGTGTTTCGCACAAGGCAGGATGCAACGCAGACACCTGCCCGCGGGGGGCCTCCCTCCGGGGCCCCTGAGCCAGCAGGTGGAAAGGCTGGCTAGCCAGCCGACCACGAGCTAGCGCCTGTATAGCGGAAGGTTGTTGCAGCTAAGGGGAGGCTGCTGCGAGAAGAGAGGCTCTCCAGGGAGGGTGCGCGGGGGTGGGAGGGTGTCGCAGGATCAGTGCGGTCGATCGCACCGGGGGGAGTGCCTAGAGGACGAGACGAAAAACGGATGGGGTCAGGCTGTGGAAAGAAGCGAAAAGCCAAACTACACTAGGTGCTTGAGGTTCTCCTCGGAGAAATATACAAGGAATCGAAACACCAGGGGGTGTGGGGCCTCGACGCGCGAGAGGACTGCACGACACTGTGCAGGGGGGGTGTCTTGGCCTTCACGGATTCTGAGCTCGCTGTGCTCTCGCGCGCCGAATCACTCTAGTGCAAGTGAATAAGAAGTACAAAGAAAAAAGAGAACCTTGAAGGCTCTCCCTATGTTGGGGCTGCAGCTCCGTCTCAGCAAGACCGATTGCAGCCACAGCGAACAGACATACACACACAGGCACGTATATTCTGGCTTTTGCTTGTCGCCATCTCTCTTCACTCCTTCATCGCTATTTTCGTGTACGCCAGAGGTTCCCTTTCGCAACACTGCACCCCCCCCTTCCCTCCCACGCACATAGGCGTCCCCCGTCGATACTCGAACCCGTGACCTCCTCCGGAACGAACTAAGCGCTGTACGTCCCCCCAACCCCCCAACAGATTTTTCTGCACCACTAAGCCCTTCGTTCCACTCCGTTCTTCGTTCATTTCCCCCCTCCGTATGATGCGCCGTCGTGCGCGACGAGGCCTGAGGCGAGGGGACCCTCCCATACCAGCGATCAATGTAGAGCGCAACTGACGCGGAAGCAACGAGCGTCAAGGCGTTGTACTTCCCCTCTTTCCCCGTCTGGAGCCTAGGAAGGCCTCTGCCGTCGTTGCTCCTACAATGGAGACGGCCGCAGCCCCCAGCTGTCTGGACAGCTCGGCATTGCAACAACGGGCACCACCCTGCGGCTGCAGCGAAAGCACTCCCAACAGCAGGACCAGGTGATTCTGCGTAGTTCTGCATTGTTGCAACAATGCAGGGCTACGCAGGAGGCCATGAGGAGCGCCTGGCCTTCAGCGTGGATGGTCGGGTGCTCTTGAAGAAAACCTCTATGGAAGAAGCGCATTTTTACTTGTGGCTGCGCCGTCTTGCTCAGATCGATCCTCCTGAAGCAGGGGATACTGGCGCCGCGGTAGAATCTGCAGTGATATCTCCAGAGGCGGCAGCACTCGCAGAACCAGCTGAAGTGTTGGGAGGGATCAGCACGAAAAGTGGGGAAGCACGAGGTTCCCCCGGGAATTTTGTCATCTGCCCGTTAGGTTGCCTGCAGGACTGCCCCCTCCTGGCGTTGGACTGCGCTTGGCAGCCCGTCGGTGAGGGTCATGCCAACGATAGCGAGGGGGGGCCCTCGGGGGGAGAGACTGAGAACGCGAACGGAGACAGAAAAAGGCGGGGTTGTAGAGGCGCTGACTGCAGTGAAGGCAGCCGCTGCATTGCTCTGCAGCTGCTGCAATGGATGCCATTTGCATTCAGAGTGTATCGATCCGATAGGGGTCTCTCGAGCGAGTCCTTGAGCAGAAAGGAGGTGGCGGCTGTGGAGCTGGAAAACGTGTTGTTTGGGCTTGAAACCCCCCTTGTGATCGACATCAAAATCGGTACGCGGCATTCGGACGAAACAGCGAGCGAATAGTGGTCATATGGCGCTGCAGCTGCAAACAGGCGTTTAGGCGTAGGGGCAGAGGCCGAAGAGCTGACAGATTTTGAGGAGAGGGAAGGCAGAAGGAGTTGGCGCGGCTGTGCTTTGTTGTGGGGAATTTGAACAACAGCCACGCGCGGGGTGGGGGAGACGGGGGGCGGACAAAATGGAGGGTCTGTGAGCACGAAAGGAATGCTTGTTTTTGCTTGACAAGAAAGACATCTACAGGTCTTCGCATTTGTAGATGTTTGTATGGCCGTCCTCACCCCGGCCATAAAAGTTGTTTTCCGGCACTTCGGAGGAAGTCGTGCTTGCTGCGCCCTCGTATTTTGCACTTTTGTGTGTTTGCATCGTCGGTGTATGTTGGGCGTGTTGGTGGTGCAGGGACTCGACTGCACGGCGATCTCGCCACCCCTCTAAAAAGACAGCGTGCAGCGCTTCAAGCAAAAGCCCGTGGAGCGACGTCCCTCGGTATTTCCTTCTCCGGCTTGTGGGGAATAGAGGATGGCCAGGAGATGAGGTGGAGGGGGGGCTCTCGGCAGCAGAGAGGGGCCTTCATACCCACAAACCTGGACGCCTATGTTGAGCTCTTTAGGGCGTTTCTCGTCTCTGGAGGTGCACAGCCAGCTCGGGTAGCGAGCCTGCTCCTGAGCCTCTTGAGATCGCTCAAGCAGCTGTGGTCCAAACAGCGAATTGTCAACCTCTACGGAAGCAGTCTCCTGTTCGTTTCTGGGGCCCAGTCACACGCTCCAGGAACGACTGCAGACCGTACAGTCAAGCTGAAGCTAATAGATTTCGCGCACGCAACGCTGTTTCCACAGGAATCTGACACGGGATACCTTAGAGGCATCGAGTCCCTTATACTGGCAGTAGAGGCCGCGGCTGCCTCGTGTCGAGAAGGACCCGGCGCCAGTGGATGCAGGGAGCTTCTGGACCTCTGGGCAGCACGAGGGAGCTCAAATTAAAGTGTATTTGTCATGGGCTCCCGCCTAAATAAGCAAGGTGGTCTTTTCATTGCCCTGACAACCGCAATGTGTTTGTCACGCTTGAAGAAGCGCCTTTAAATACAATTTCAGAGGGAGAGATTGGGGAGGGAGAGACCTCGCTGTTACCGCTAGTCTGCCGCGCCATGTTTTTTGGCCTAGCCACCGAATCTAGCTAGTCTGTACATAAAGAGTAGGGGTTAAGGAAATTGGCATTAAGAATTCCCGCGCACGGCTGCGCACTGAGCTGGAAGGCTTTTTGAGGCTCCCACCGAGGAGTAGATTCACTGAGAGGTCTGCCAAAAGCAAGAAAAAGCGAATGGGCATGCAGGCAAAACAACAGTCGCGAAGAGCCACGAAGAAGAGGCGCTCTGGGGTGTAAATCGCCTGAGCAGCGAGTTGCAGCACTGCACGGGGTCCCTGGAATATACCCTGAACAAAATTGAGCGCAGCGCCGAAGACCCCTCCTCCCCCTGCCCTCTGGTGTCAGTACAACGAGGGTAAATGCGTGAGCTGCATACGCGCAGCAGCGCCAGTTGCTCTTGCAGGCGTGTTGCTGCTGGTTACCCCAGAGAGCGTGGGGCTCATAGCACGAAGGAAGAGACGCACAAACATGCGACTTGGCCCTCCTACTTTCGCGCGTACGACAGACGAAGAGGTGTCCCGCTGATCGTTTGCCCCTGCAACTCTGCACCCAGAAGCAACAGCCGCAAGCCTCGCATAAAGGATCAACAGTGCAGCTCACACCAAGAAGACAGGGGGGCTGCGATGCCACAGCAAAGGCTCTATGAATCTTATGGCAGCCGCAGGACGGTGCGGTCAGGCCACAAACAACCCGCGCATGCGTCCCTTCCGCCAGCGTGACAAGATATGCGCAGGGACAGCAGCGCGTGAGTTTTGCCACATGGAAAGCTTGCGAGCAGCAAGAGTAGCAAAGACACAGCTAGCACAAGCAGCAGCAGCAGTAGCACTTAGCGAGCAGAAGCAACACGGCCAAAAAGGGGAGGGCTGACTGTTGAGCGCCTTTGTGGCGAGTTCCTCAGTGGCGTATTCGACGAATGCCACCTTCTTGAAGAGAATGGCGCGAATATCGACGAGCCCCTCCGCCTGCGAGAAGAGCTGCTGAAGAGCAAAGTTCGTGCACCAGTCGGGAAGGTTCTCCACAAACAGGACCTTGTTGGAGGTTCCCTGCAGCAGCAGCAGTACAGTCCGACAAAGGACGCAACCAAGTCACTCCGAGACCGCTTACAGAGACAAAAAGCGCAGACAGGCAAATAGAGCACAGCCCCTAAATTTCGGAAGACAGTCCTAAAGTCTAATGGCAGATACTACTGCTACAAACAAGACGCAGCAAACGCCCTGTTGTCTCGTCTCGCTCCCTTTTCGCGAGCTTCTTGCCGTTGCCTTTCCTGGTGCACCCAACCCTCGCCAATCAATCCCACGAACACATTTCCCTCCCATGCACTTACGCTGCCTTGTGAAGCCCCTGCCGCTGTGGTGTCGGCTCCTGCTTGCTGTTGCTGCTGTTGCTGCTGCCGCGCCTGAGCTGCAGCCACAAGGGCAGCCGGGTCGGTAGAGCCCGTGGCTTGCGGCGGAAGGCCCCCAGGTCCCTGCATCGACAGATATTGAACAAAAATTACACACATATATATATGCACCCATACCTACATATACCCACACACATACCTACATATACCCACACACATACCTACAGATACATACATACGCATACCTACATATACACACATACACGTACATATATATACCCCTTCTCCATAATGCCTCCCCCCCGTTCACAGCAAGACAAGGAACCAGCTGCTGCCTCCGTTGCGGGCTGCAGAAGATGTAAGACCAAAGGGCATGCTTGAATTTTATGTTGGAAGCTACGATGCCTCAACGCAGTGAACACTTCCGTTATCCAGTTCATATGCATGCAAGTACTGTGCGAAACCGGAAACGGAGGGCAGACACACCGACACAAGGAGACCCCCCTATGTAGGCAGGCGGTAATAATAAGGCAGGCAGACACCCCCTAGGCCCGCGTCTCTGGTTCCCCGTGCAGCAGCATCAGGAGCTATCAATGCAGCACTAAACCTCACTTTCAAGGCAAGGTATTGCTGCTGTAGCTGCAGAAACAGTGCTCTTTGCTGCGCCTCCTTTTCGCGAACTCGGCGAGGCTTGCGAGGGCCTGAGGGCCTCTCAGTGAAGGTCCCATCCTCCTTGGCTACTAGGTCGCTCTTCGCTAACGCGTAGTTGATATGCTGAAGAAACATCGACAAAGAAGGCGGAGAAACAAGATGCCCCCCTGTGGCAGAAACACTCTGGTCGCGAGCAGTGAGGCAACCTTCGTACAGACACGACCACAGAAAACAGCCAAAAAAACAACCCGGGACTCCCCATGCTATTCGCAGGAAGACAACACATAGATACACACACATATATACATGTATATATAGATATATATATGCGACTCTAACGCACAAGCGGCTGGCCGTGGTATATGAACCCCTGCATTCCATTGAGGGCCGTTGTTGCCGCAGTTTCATCCTTGAACACAATCCATGCCTGCCCTCTGAATAACATACACACACACATACACACACACATACACACACCGACACATCCAGCACATGAACACACCCACTGACGCACGCTACGCATATTCATGCACGCATAGTGGTAAATGCATGCCGGCTAGAAGCTATCTGTTGGCGAAAAGTCAGCTACCACGCCTCGAAGCCTCAACAAACGGCTCGAGGGTCTCTCTGGTTTCTTTTGCTCTCTAGCGCTCCAGACTTGATTTACGAACACAGCATAGTGTTTCCAATAAATATTTCTACAAAATTATCAGCCTCCCTTGAGACGGAAGACACAGGAGAGGAAGTTAAGCTTCCTAGGGTTAAGGGTCGAGATATGGTAGTAGACATTCATACCTGCGCCAGAATGAACCCATGGCGACAATCTGCCGTATTTCCCCGAATTGTTTGAACATAGACTTGAGATTCTCCTTCAGCTCTGGTTGCAAAACAGCGTGCGCCAACAGCAAAGTGCCCCCGTTTGTTTACTATGCCAGCCAAGCGGAATGATCGCTAGTCGTAGTCGTGGACGCCCTAAGGTCGCTCAGTCTTCTATCCCCCCTCGCCTCTTGCCTCATCATCTCTCCCTCTCGGTGTTTCTCCATCTTGTACTCACCTTTGAGCTTGATCCTGTCATTTATGTTTGACACGTAGATCGTGCAGTTCGGCGGAATGGAGCTATCAACAGCGCGAGGCTGCAGGTACTTCAGCCTCTTCAGGTTCACGGCCGTCATCCCCACCGCAGCCATCTCGGGAGCCACAGGACCCCAGGCAGCCCCAGGGCCCCCCATGGGGCCCCCCATGGGAGCCACGGACGCACTTATGGGGGCGGGAGGTCCCATGGGGGCGCCGCCCGCCATGGGGGGAGGCCCCCCAAACGTATGGGGCCCCCCACCCATGCCCATTAAGGGGGCCCCGCCCATCCGGCCACCGAACGGCATGCCCCCCATGGTGACCCCTGGAGCCCCCGGGTGGCCTCGGGAGGGGGGCCCCCCTACCATCATTCCGCCACCGGGGCGCTGGGGGGAGGCCCCAGGGCCGAAAGGCATTACTGGGGGCCCTGCCATTTCCGAGGAACAGACGGAGAGTGTAGATCCTTGAGGCTTGAGGCCGCAGTAAAAAGAGGAGAGTCCGCTACTGGGGATTGATGAACGGGGACAACAGCCGCTGCTGCTGGCGCACCGGCGGCAGCAGCTGCGGCGGCTGAAGGGGGTTCGGAAATCGCAGGGGAAGCAAAGACGAGAGGCCTAGGCCCCTACAGCTGCTGCATCAGACAACAGAAGCAAGGGCAGCAGCAAGGAAACAAGAATCTCCAATGCTTTTGCTGCATCGAGAGGTACAGGAGGCAGCCTTAGGAGTAGCTGTTGCTGCTGCTTCTGCATCTGAACAAGAGCGCATGCGCTTCATGCTGCCTTGCCAAGGTCTCGTTCCGAATTCTATTAAGGTTCCACTAAAACCTATCAGTCGCTTTGTTACTATAAATTGAGGCACTTTCATATCCATTCCTCAGTCGATGAAGCGTATTTGCACCCCCAGAGAGCCCAAGCTTCCGCCCTGCTGGTAAAAGGGACGCCTCCACCGCTGGACCCGTGGTTTCCCAAGGGGCCCTCCGGGGCCCCTAGTCACCCCAGAAATGATTTTAAATTAGCTTTTCTAGGGGGTATGCGAGGAAATCTCCTCTTTTTCCACGGATAGGCTCATGAAGGGGCGCCTGATCCACATCTCTTAAAGCTAAATAGTGCGGGCGATACCAGACAGTGATTGGCACTTGGGAGTGCATTTTTAACTTTTGATATTGCGATGATCTAAGAGATGAAGTCCCTCGCTGAAGGGCGGCTCCTACCGCAGAGCGTTTGGTCATGCTGCGTGTCTCCCCCCGCTGCCTGGGGTGACGGGGAAGGATATTTCCCCGTTTGCTTCACCGTTTTGTTCTTCGCTCTGGCTACACTTGGGTGGTTCTTCCTTGGCAATTCCAATAACTTTGAGGTGCCTCTCCTCTTCTGCCTGCCTAGAAATGAGGCGCGCGTCATCAAGCAGCGGCTGCGTGAATGTAGAGCAGTAATCAAAGCACACGCAGGACCGGCAGTTGCAACAAAAACAGTAGTTTCGCAGGTTTCGTGCAGCTCTTGTGCCTCCATTGGACGAATAAACGACCCAGCTGCATCAAGCTGCATAAAAGGGGCAGCAACAACACAGGTAGCCCTCGCAAGAGCAGAAGCAGCGTCACGTGTGTGTGCCGAGTTACGGGCTTCTCGATCGTTTCTCCGTGTGGCTAGAAACAGGTGTCTTGGGGGATACCATGCTGTAGTCGTCTCTTTCCTTGCTTTCACGTGTATCTTGGCAGATCAGCAGCTTATACAAGACAAAGCCACAGGCACTTCGCCTCTCTACACAGTTACGGGTACGCAGTAAGGATCCTCAGCACAAATCTTCAAGGCCTTAGCTATGATTCCTAAGGCGTTTTAAATGGTGTATTAGTCCCTCTCTGCAGCACAGGTCAAGCGGTGAGGAGGCAATACTGGTCAGGGGTCCCCTTTTAGGACACTATGATACGGGCAAAGGTTGCTGTCGGTGTTGCGCCTTAGGGATCCTGACGGGCGGCTACTTCCTGTGGGACCTTTGTGTTATTCTAAGGGATTGGGGGTCTGGGAGCCTTCAATGGCTCGTGCATGCCGTCATTTCTATATCGAGTGTTTGCTCGCCCTTCTTCTTCCCGTCGCATATCCCCATGTGCTACTATGCAGCCGCCCTCCTGACGTTTGAGGCCAGTACCCCTTTCTTTTCTCTGCGCTATTTCATTCTGAAGGCAGGAGGGGGCGAAAAACTGGTAGGAAAGCTTGTGCACGCGCTGTTTGTTGCTAGCTTTTTTCTTGTTCGGTTGGTTTACGGGTGCCTCTTTCTCTTCCCCGAGCTGTGGTGGGCCCTCCTTAGGGACCCCGTCATAAGCACTGTTTCCCCCGCCAGGAAGGGTCTCTACTTTACGTGTATGCCGCTCTTTGGAGCACTTCAGCTCCTCTGGTTCTTGCAGCTGGTCCGCAGCAGAGAGAGCGTCGAGCGAAAAGGTCTATAACATTTTTGATCGAGGTTGCTAGGTGCCTTTTGGGGTGGTGTCTCTTCGTCACTCCACATCAGCCTCCTCTCGTTCATTTGACCCTCCCTAGTGTCCCGATTTGATGTACTTTGCTCGATTTTTCACTGTTACTTGGCTAGCGAGCAAGTCGGACGTCTTGCTCGGGGCGCAGCACTCTCCAGGCTCCCTTCTTTCCCTGCCTTTGGGGCAGTGCCCTCATGACAGTTCCCTCTGAACCCACAGTCTTAGCCGCGAAGGACGACAAATTTAGTTGATGCGTAGCAGCATGCACTGCGTCGCTAGGGCTGGCTTTTTGTTCTGAAGGGCTAGAGGAAATGAATGGACATACATTAGGAGGTGCCTCTTCCTGGCAGCCCCTCCCTACACTGTTCATGGCAGCGCAGCTTCAGAGCACCTCCTCGGCACTCGCGCTTGTTTAGGGGTATCAGGGTACGGGTACAGACTGCAGTACAAGCAAAGGCCACTGGGGCAAATAAGGCATACAAAAAGTGGAAAGAGCAGGCAAAATGAATACCCTCGAGACGGCTCTATGCCTCGAGGTCACCTTTGTACTTTTGCCCCGTTATGCATCTGTTGTACGGGCCTTACAAGGACCCGCGCTGCCTCAAGCCCCGCCGTGACTCTGTCTCCCACCGCAATGCCACTTACCCACCCACCCTCCAGGAGCAAGTGGCTTTGGGGGTGCCTTTGCCGCTGCTGCTGCAGCAGCTCTTCATTCACTACGTGCAGTGTCGAGCTGTGGCCTAAACCAAAGGTAGCAATAGTTCGAGGCCAACGCCTAATACCCAAGACGCGAAAGTAATACACTGAGTCATTCTTACGGGTCTCTGGGAATTTTAACACCGAAGACCTTATACACCCTGGAACCTGGTAGGCCTCGCGCGTTTGGAAGCTTTCCTGGGCTTCTGGATCCGGAAGGAAGGACAGATTGGACTGTTTAGATGCTCTCAAGAGGTCCCTTAGGGCTCTGGATGTGAGTTGCTCATCCGTTTCTTCGATCGCTTCCGGGTGGGAAGGGCCTCCCAAAAAGGCGGTGTACAGCTCGAAACCCTTGGGGGCCCTACCTTCAAAAATTCGAGAGACGCTGATGGCCCCCATGGTCTCCCACCCTCCTGCCGATGCCTCGGCGGGAGACACCAGATACCCAAACCCATTTGGCGTAAGGCCCTGCAGCTTCTCATTGGTGGCTGGCCTTAATGCGAGAGTGACCAGGGCTACAGAAGACAAGGGTAGGGCGTTCAGCATCCGCACTGCCGTCGAGCTAAGCAGCCCTTGCTGCACGAGCTGTCCGTCCCCTGCTAGAACCTGTTTCTGAGGAATCCGTGATGCCCCAGCCGTGCCTAGCAGTCGAGCAGCTTCATTCGGGGGCGTTGTGAGGAGCACGTGGCTTGCAAGAATGCGTCTCTCCGCGTTTGGCGTGGAGATAACTGCAAGAAACCCGTCTGCCTGCGGTCTGAAGTCTGAGAGGGGAAAGAGCGAGGACACGTGGGAACGCAGCAGCACGGCCTTGGGAGGAAGTGCGTTTGCCAGGCGCAGCGTTAGCGCATGCATGCCCTGCCGGAAATTGGCTATTGAGGGGCCCCGCCGCTTCCCTCCGCCTCCCGCCGTGTCCTGCCTGAGGCTCGCTTGCTCTGAGCTGGCGGGTGAAGCCCCTACAGAAGAAACAGGAAAATCAGACGGACTCAGGAATGACGCCAGGCGGCTGACGGCAGTTGCAGCGAGGCTCCTGATGAGTCCTCTGTCCAGGAGTGCCTTAAGACCCGGCAATGCCAGCCTCATGGAGAGGGAGGCCCCGTCTGCCGCGTAGATTCCTGTGACGAGCGCGCCTACAACCTTCCTTTCAACCTCGGTGCCGAGCACTGTACGTACATATTCGGAAACTGTGGGAGAATCGAGGTCTTTCGGGCTGTCCCTCATGTCGCCTTGTACCTGTCCCTGTCTCGGTATTTTCAGCGTGCGCAGTGGTGGTGGCACCCAGGAGTCTGCCCCAAAGAGAAGGCCCTTGGCCAGATGCACTTTCCCTCGCCACGAGAGAATGGAAGAAGATATGAGAGATGGGAGGGAGTGGGGTAGGGGCAGCAACTGACCCCCCACAGCAGCGAAGCGGGGGGCCTCCCTGGGGGCTGTCAGCAATTCTTCGTCCAAACCAACCTCTTTGACCAGCTGTCGCGTTTCCGTCGTGAGCCGAAAACTGTTAGCCCCACTATCCCACAGGAATGCTCCGCATGCAGAGCGTTGTGTCTCCAGACAGCCACCCACACCACTGCCGGCCTCAACAACAACAAAGGGCATCTCCTGTATGCACTGTTCATCGTGTATACAAGAGGGCTTGCCTCCCTCGGCACAATCTACTGCCGTGGTCAGGAGAGAAAGAGCAGACGGAGGCGCGGGTAGCGGAATTCCGTGTTTTTGCATGCGCTGTAGCTCGTGGGCAGCGGTAAGCCCTGTGAGGCCGCCTCCAACAATCAAAACCCCAACCCTTAGATCGGGTAAAATCTTCCCTTCCCCGAGAGCAGCATCTTGTGGATCTCCGCTAGTGCAAGATGCAGTTTCAAGGAGCCCCCCAGAAGCCGTTGGTACGCCGTGGGAGGACAGAGGTGGCGGTTTAAACGAGCACAGCCATCGGCAGGATGAAAGGCAGGAAGGCACTATCCTCAGTCTCTGAGGAGACAAGCCGATTGATACTGCCCGGCGGAACATTGCAATTCAATTGCAATGGAGGGAAGACATTGCTCTGAGGAAGCTCGAATGCACGTACAAGTCGAGTGAGCGAGGAGGCAGGTATACAGGCGTGCCCCTCTTCTCTAACTCTTCCGGGATGCAGAGGGTGTTAAAGGCATGAATCTCAAAAATCGTAAAAAGGAAGGCCCGGGAAAGGCATTGGCCCCAGTGTAAACTACGACAACTAACAGCAAACCGTCGATCGCTGCATGCACTGCGGATGGAGCAGACGTCCAGAAAGCATATTTCATGACACAAACCGCAGACTTACTAGTGATCTACACCCTAAAATTCACATCCCTGGGCAAACCTAATCCAGGCTTTCTGAAAAAAACTCTAGAGAAACGTAGAATTGTTTGTGCTGATCGCACACACAAGAGCAATCGGAGGGAGCGAGGACCCCCAATAAGTTAAATGTCAATGAGGGTCTTCTGCGCCAAAAGCTAATACCGGATTCCAGAGCTGTCATTTCACTCCGCTATATGGCCAGTGCTTTGGGAGGCATTTTGACTCTCAACCTTTCCTCTTCGGCTTCCCTTCTGTCTACGCCACAGCCAAGTTTCTCTCCTCTAAACGCGCCGCAAGAATGGGAAAACGCCTCATTGTTGCCGTGACACCTTACCCTGTTGACCTTTCTGTTTTTCCAGAGGCTTCAGTTGCTGGTTCCAAGACTGTACCGCCACCCTCCATTGGGCAGGTGGTCTTGCCCCGATTTGTCCGGCATCTGGCGGTAAATTTCCCGGACTTTGAATTGGTTTCCGGATGTTCCATTGAAGACTTCAATGAACGAAAGGAAGAGATCAAAGCTGTATGGATTTTGCGGGTTTGAGGGCACACTACCCCAGGGTTGTATTGGATGCAATGCTGGGCTGCCTACACAGCTCCAACGACCTGCATGGACTCTCTTCCGCTATTCCATCTTCACTTCCCCAGCTGGTGTTCACTGCAGTATTAAATCTTTCTAATCTGCCCATACACACAGTTCCTTCCACAGACATGCTCCTTCCTGATGCCGAAGCGAGGCACTTCATCGGAGGAGAGATTCTGCTCTTGTTTGCAAACCTCAGGCCGAGATTCTTTTGGTAGTAGAGGCGCCTCCTTCTCTCCTTATGGAGGTCATCCCCCTACTTAAAAGCCTCCGCTGGGTGCACAGCTATTTGGCGGGCGTCGACGGCCTCTCCGCAGCACTACGAAAGCTACCGTGCCCGTCAGACCCAAGTCTTCCCCTCAGTAGGAGCGGTCTATTGGTAACGAACGCGAAAGGGATTTACTCTTCTTCTCTTAAGGAATACGCTATTGCTGCCATCATGCACTTCGCGAAGCAGGTCCCCAGGCTACAGAAGAACAAAAGCGACAATAGGTGGGAAAGATTCATCGTCGGAGAGATCAAGGGTAAAACGGCGGGGTTCATTGGTTATGGAGACATTGCAAGGGAAATAGCCTCTGCATGCAAGGTCAGTGGAGTATAGCCTCTGGCAGCAACTGGGTGCATTAGAGAGAGATGTACATAAAGAGAGGCACACTAAGGAGAACCATCCATACATAGAAATGGCAATTTAGTGATGGACATACTCAGTCTGGTTAGCTGAGCATGGTCTAGGGCCTCAGGCAGAAGTGCATTAACTACAACAGACGCAGAGATTGGGAAGAACGCGTCTTTCCGTGAAGTGGCCAGTCAAACCAACTAGGGAAGATATGCACTGTGCCTGTCTGCCGGCATCGATTTTCACCGTATTTACCTTCCTCTCTCCAAACCCACATTGCTCTAATGTGCTTTCAACTCTGCACATCTGTGCCTGTGCCCTCTGTGTATGTGTGTGTCAGTTTTTTGGGATGCGCTGCATCGCAGTCCGCCGCGACGCCACGAGAACGTGCCCATACCTCGACGAAGTTTACGCATCAGACAGCAAGGACCATTTAGAAGTAGGAAGGCGGCTTACTGCTGCTCTGGGGGGCACTCTGCTGTTTCTGCTACTGCTTGAGTTGTTTTTTCTTGCCTCTATTATACCTTGCCAATTCAGCTTAGTTTCTACTCCACATGCTGTGAGGGTGCCATGCACGAAGTGTATCTTCAATTGTTCTATCTTCTTCCTCCATCTTCCGTCCCTAATAGTTACTGGCTCATGGACATAAAGACAGCGCGGGCTAATAGGGATGTCCCAGATAGCTAGAGTACCTGCAGGAGGCAGCGATTTCTCCTCTTCTTACATTCAAATTGTATAGATGGGAGGATGAGTCGTATTGAAGGGAGGTGCCCAAGAGCTTGTGTTTTGTTGTGGCATATGCTTGGTGCATTCCGAATTAATTATGGTTGAGGTTTTAGCCCCTTGTGCTTTCGTTGCTGCTTCGTGTTCAGGTGTATCGGCAGTCGGATTTTGTGATTTGCAGCTTGCCTGCGACGCCAGAGACCGTTAACTGCATCTCCAGAGAACAATTTGGAGCTATGAAAAAAACCGGAGTGTTCATCTCACTTGGACGAGGATGCGTCGTCGACGAGGAGGCCTTGCTGCAGGTGTGCTTCAATCCGCAATCCTCCAAGTCCTGTCGGCTTCCTCCTTATACTTTCTGTTTCCCCATGCTATGTCTCGTTAGTGCGTCCCTTTCTCCTCTCTTCTTTAAAGCCCCCCCATTTCGATCTTGCTCATGCTGTGTATGTCCACTTTGTCCCAGGCCCTGAACAGTAGCCTCATCTCTGGAGCCGCTCTGGACGTGTTCCAGACAGAGCCCCTTCCGGCGTCTTCTCCTCTTTGGGGCGCTCCCAACCTTCTGTTGTCGTGTCACAACGCAGACTGGTGCGAGAACTACAGCGTAGAAGCATCCATTCAGCTTTTTGAGGACAACCTTATCAAATTCCTCAACGGAGCAAAAACGAACGAAGAAATGTTGACACCTGTAGACTGCAACAGAGGATATTGAGACTTATTTCGTAGACAGCACCGAACAATGCTGAATACCCTCCCCAACCCGCAACACATATCTGTGCATTCCGCTCACCAAAAGGTGGATGAAAAGATCAATACAAGGCAATGGGGTCGCTCAACTTCATCCAGGAATCTCATACCAAAGGCCGTCCGGCACCACTAGTTTTATGGGATTGTATGGCTCTCACTTCTATAAAACGAATCCCGTGAGGCGAAAATGTAGCACTAGTCAGACACTTATCAAATCGTGTGATGCAATTCAAGTCCCCGGTCACTGCCAGCCTTCTTTCTTAGGGAGTGAACCCAACTCAATGCTGTGATCCCCAGCCCAGTGCGGGGTACTTATACTACTGGGCCTTTGCATTCCTTGAGATGCAACCGCACGCTAGTTGGCAACACTTCGAGATCTCAACGTTACTAAACACATGTGTTGTCATTCGTTGGCCACACCTCTGTCCGCTGGGAGCTTCGCTCACACATTGACCGATTCACTAATGATGAATATCATTTGAGTTTGCCAAAACTACTATGCAAGCATGGCGAAAGATTATAATGGACTATTTCGCATCACTTGACGATGGCTGTACCGCAGTATCTGTGGGTATCGCTCCGGTTTTAGCAGTAATGCTCAAGAGCAGCTACTCTGATAGCAGCACGATATCCAGTTCCTATCGGAAAACACAACAGCATTTGAGCGCTCACATCTGTTCTTTGGTGGAGACAATCACGTCTTGGGGGTTTCCTTGTCTACGATGTGGGATTGAACTCGACCTTCAACGCGCCGCGATTACACGCTGGGGGGTTGTCCATTGATTAAGAGATATCAACAAACCAAATTTGCTTCTTACTGCAACTAATTTACTCCAGGCTGGGTTCAATTTTAATATTCTTTGAATAGTGTACATGAAAAAGCTAAACAAATGGCATGAATGAAAGGGAAATTCACCGGTGCGACGCCCAACGTCGGCACTTAGAATCCTTATGCAATGTGTTGTGTTTCGTGGCAAGGAAAAACCTTTCTTACTAACGAAGTATAGACACGCATTCTATCTGCAGAGTGAGCGCTTCTCTCAAGCAGCTCTTGTCTTCCCATACACCGAATAACAGGTGGGTATTCACAATGCATAACGAGAAGAACAACTAAATCCAGAACATTTAAAAGACTTTTAGAAGTGGGCCAAGGCGTCCAAAATGCTGACGCTGTCTGTTGGGGGCAGTTCTTTGAATCGGTCCTCCTCTACAAATTCACATTTGAAACACGAACGGATCCAGCAACACACAGGCCATTAATTGAATTGGAACAGCCTTGCAGTGGTCTGAAGAGTAAGGCAAGGTCAGGAATTTAGCAGAGCGATCGTCAATATGCATTTCATACATAACTCTCCTACGTTGGAAGGCGTTGGTTGAGTGTGCCCCTAGAATTTGCTTTATCTCAGCCTTCCTTAAAAGTCTGATGCATGGCTTGGCGCTGTTATATTCTCTGCCCAACACAAAAGGACCAGAACTTAACTCTCATGTGCCATTTATATGTCAGTAGATGCTAAGCTATAGTCCTCGTCACTGGACTGCCCTGAGCGTGCCCTAAGCTCTACCACGACTCTCATCTGTTCCGTTTACACTAATGCCGTGTAGCCCTACAATGTTGGACTGTGACGAATATTTTACAGGGGCCGACGACAAATTTCATGCTTCGGCTGGTTTTCCTTTTGCAAGTCTTCTTCATGAAAACCACGTGGGAAAATCCAACGCTGAATGTAGTACCAAAAAGCAACACAACACAGATATATTGATGAGGATAGCATAAAGCATCGCTCCTCTGTTTTGTGCATGATTGGGACACGAAGCTCATTGTTGCTTGCCATGCGCTCAAAGTGCGAACGAAAGTTGACGTGAACAAACAACAGAGCAGGACCCCGGCAGGATAAACACACATCTGATCTTCGGCCTAGAAAGATCCTAAAACTCATCACGCATCAAGCAATACATGATATACACTGATATGTTCAGTTAGAACATTTGCAATCCACTTCCTTACCTTGTTAGATAACACATGCTCCAGACCATCTCAGGACAAGGCTTTTACTTGGCATCAATCAGGGCACAATCTCGGGAAGAATCCGAATATTTGAAATTTTGTCATTAAATTATAATCAGAAGTACCGATGCTGCAGCAATATGGGGAGCATTAGCTGAAGTTCTAGGCCAGGTACTGCCCAGGCCTAGGACGGCAGGTAGACCTTTGGAAAATCCAGAAACTGGTAGAGCGTAGCTAAAGCCTACAGCCAGCGCATACCGCCTGAACAAGGGCCGCTTCACGACACAGGGTGCAAAAACATTGCTGGTACAAAGCCTATAACCGATCATTTAATTCGCTGTAGACATAAGTGTTAAATAGGGGAAAAAATAGATTTGCATCATCTTCTGCCGATCAACTAGGAGGCGTTGTGCGTCACCCCCACGCCTGTCCAGTTGCTGTACAAACCCGACGTGTACCCCAAGCTCGTGGGTCTGATACCCTATAGCCGGCCACTTCTGAAGCTACATTTAATTCAAAAAAATTCGTTTTGAATTACTTTCAAGTGCTCGCATTATGACTCCGTAGGAAAACTGCGCACCTTCACCGCCTGCGTGGCTGACGAGGCGTTACAGGTCGAGGGGTACGTAGCAAGGTCTGTAGAGTGCGTCCCCACATCGCATTCCCCATACTATAATCCTTGATAAAGGTTTTCAGACACTGACTTATGTGGCATTGCCGTCTTTATCGGCGCTGTCACTCAACGCTCATGAAAATTCCTAGTGCTTGTGGCTATAGGAAGGCTACTTTGCATGGACCGTGCACAATTTGACTTATCCAACAAAATGGATCACTAAGCTGCATAGCTTCGACTTCGAGCTGTCAGTAAAGTGAACTAGATCCTACAAGTAGGACTCGAAGCCCCGTGGGCAACCTACTGCCCTGCACAATCAGGTTGCCTGTATGGTATCTCGAACAAAGTGCTACGTATCCTAGTCCTCAAACATTGATGTTTTGCACTGCCCCACCTATTGGCTGCTTATTCTAATGAGCTTTGTCGCAAGCTTTTATGCCTTGATATATTAATATTGATAGAGGATGATGCATAGTAATCACCTAGAGTAAATAGCACGAAGGTCTCTCCGCTCCATCAGCGAGAGGTCATAGTTTTATCCCGTGCCTGTGCAATAATATTGTGCTACATTATTTATTTATCCGTGGCACACTTGGACAGTATGCAGACGCATATTCACTGTTTCACTTGTGCTACCTGGCATTCGAAAGCACCTACTGGTAGCGTACCACATACTTTGGGCCTTTTAGTCTGACATTCCTTGCTGCTCTGATCTAGTCTTCGTCTCAACCGTGGCGTGTGGCTGCTGATCCATAACGGTGCCTGCTTATTTGGAGGGAGACAACTAGGCTTTATGGAGGCTTTGAGTCGTTTCTGGGTGACGATCTGCTTTGGGAGAAAGGTACTGTACTGCAGGGGACTGATAGTAAAAATGCGGCCTCCACTGCTTTGTTCACAGCTGAGGTTACGTCAATGCACTTGCAACTAGAGGCTTAGAGGCTTTATATGCCTTTAGAAAAACTGGACGGTTAAGCCCAACGAGCGGTGATTCACATAACTCAATGTGTACATGGAAAGCTGCTGGTTCACAGGTGAATACGAAAACTCTGGGGAAAGTTGTTATCTGGGATCTGCGAAGATATTAGGTGGGGCCCAAAAAATATATTTGCGTCGTATATCGATTAACTAGGAGGCGTCGTGCGTCGCCCCCGCAACTGTCCAGCAGCTGTACAAACCCTACGTGTACCCCTAGCTTGTGGGTCTGACGTCCTGTAGCCAGCCACTTCTGAAACTACATTTGAAGGCTATGAATATAGTTCTATAGCTCTGCGCTGCACAAAGGGTGAATCATGTCGAATGAACATGGAAGCTTAGGAGCTAAATATGCCGCCTGAAAGCGTGTATGGGGCGGTTGGGGTGCCAACACAACTAAGGGGACTGCTTGTTTCCGAGATTGAAACATGCAAGCGCTCCTGTCAAGATTGTGCAGGCCTTGGTATTTTACAGTGTTAAAAAAATTCGGTATATGCGAAAGCAGTGCTGTCTTGAGATCCTGCATTTTTGGACACAGACACTTGAGTTCGGAAGAACCTGGGAGGTCTGTTGGAGAAGTTGTCGAGGTAGTTAAGGCCTTCTTGCGAGCCTTGTGGCTCACAATCCCTGGTTAATATCAGATGGAGCTCACATATATATAGTACTTAGCACGACAGTGCTAGTTTATCCAGGGTAAGCGTGTTGTAGCTGTAATAAACCATCGCCGACGAAAGCTTCTAACTAGGAACCGAAATAGTCTAGCAGTTAGTAGCTTCGAACCTGTGTTCATGCAATCATCATACATCAGACTGGAGAGGAATGGTGCGATGAAGCTGCCTGCAAATGACAAACACTGCGAGCTCCTCTCCAAATAATCCAATCCAGCGGATTCGAAATATGAATGCGTCGGTGAGGAAGCGGTGGGTAACGAGTATTGGATTCGGTGCAAGACATCAGGGAAGGTGGGCAAGCTATATTGAAAGGCATAGGGCGTTGATGCATTACAGGAGTACCTCTGGACTGTGAGTATAAGCACAACGCAGTTCTTGTAGTGAACGAACTGTGCTATAGTGCCGCCAACCAACTTATTCGCTCTTAAAGGCGCACCCAAAGCACCAACACCTAAAACTCTCGACAGTTTGCATGCCGTGGAAAGGGCCATTATATCTATTTGGTTGTCTGTGCGTGCATTGCTGTATACAAGGCAGATAGGGGCTTTGGTGTAAGAGCTTTCACATTGGCCCAGAGGCCGTCAGTGCCGATAAATTCAAAAGTATCTGGCTGAAATGCATGTTTTTGCCATATAATCGGCTTTTACCTTTCCCACAGATGAGCCCAACTTTCTGCTTGATCTAGTTTAGGAGAAATACTATGCACCTATAGCACTGCCTGAAATACCATCCTTCCAACCATCTTCTTTAATTACGTAAAATCCTTGCTTGATGATAATCAAAAACCATGCATCGGCAATAACCTCTAAGGATGGAAGGCCACTATAACTTATGAGCATGCAGACCTGTTAGTTCTTCATGTGGTATCGCCTACAGCGAGCCTTGGACCGCGAAAATATTGACCGCAGCGCGATTACAGTGGTAGCTCATGTCTTTGCTTTTCAAGTGTCTATATAAGTGGATGGGCCTTTTCAATCCTTGTCTGTAAGTTGATTATGCTAATCTCCCAAAATTTTGGCTTTAGAATCACCGTAGACAACATGCTGCGCTGAGGACCTCCAAAGGGACCCACTTCAGATCACACCAACTATGAAGCTCACTTTGAAAGTTTCGACTGCCTTGCACGTGGGGCTCTCTTTCCCATTAGACTCACCTCTCAGACATTCAGCCATAGGGGGGATGGACAGGTAGAGTGCGCAGCACTGACTTGTTTACTAAATCGGAACATTTGCAGCTGGCTGCACATACCATGGACAGTACACGCACACATTTTAATCGTACGTTGAACTCTACCCTGTATCCAATAAGATTTACAAAGAGCTAAGACTGAGAGTTCTCACTTTACCACTTCCCAATAAAATGTAACTAGTGTAGTAAAAATGATGAGGATATCTTCCCCTGGTATCTTAGTTGCCTTACGCAGTTGAAAAGCCCGACCGTTCTGAAGGTAAGCAAGTAATTCGATTCTATTCCTAGGCACAGTCTTCGTATAATAGAAGAGAGAAAGTAAACCTGTAAGATAAGGGAAAGTTGGGGGAAAGCAGCAGTTTCGGTTCCTTAGATGTAAGGCCAGTGCAATGCTCTTCCTTGGATCATTGGCTCCATGGATGGTAAAAAGGGCTGCTGAATGATGTAAAAACTGTCATGGGAAAATGTTTTAAAGCTAAAATATGTTCGAACTTTTGCTTATAATAAGGGGTTTTTTTCCTGATAATCTCTTTCACTACCTTTTGCAGCAGCTAGCCGTGGCCGGCCACTGCATGCGCAGAGCACCTAGCCATTACCGACTTCATGAAACTATCCAACCCAAGCCTGCCCCAGCCCAAGCACTATTTTGCCTAAACCATAAGCTTATGTACTTAAAAATATTGAACTCGAAGAGCCTGAAAAAGCCACCGTCATGTCTTAGTGGTAATTGCCAAAAAAAGTTCTAAGGCATAGTACGCCTGAACTACCTAATTTAGTTTGACCTAACAGACTCCAAAATTTGCTATTATTCTGGTTCATTTCTGCTATATGCTATAATGCACTTGGGACAGCTAGACTAATTTGCCTCGAGATGCGCGTTCCTGCCTTTTTGGGGCTTGGAAGTAGGTCAAGGTGCATGCGCATTCCGCATCGAGCTGAAGAATTGTGATCGATGCAGGGATACGGCAGCCATGCAGTATACTGCGTGCTGCGGGGTTTCCATTTTCTTCCTTGCACTTTCGCCATCCAAGGACGTGAAGACCTCCGATCCCGTCGCATTGAGAGCAGCGTCTACGGCAGCCCTATGTTTGAGGCAATGAACCGCCGATTGCTATAGGAGACTTTCGGCGCTCTCAGAGCTTGCCGGAGATTACTCCTTTGCTTCTCTTTGCTTCGTTTTCCTTATTGCGCCGTGGGATTGCCTTAGGACCTTCCCTTCATGAATGTTGCCGCCCGTACAGATCGACACACGGGGGCTTCCACCATATCTTTTCCGTTGTTCTCCGGAGCCACCAGGTATAAAACATAAAAGCGTGTCTTTTTAGTATGAAGGCGTCTCACCTACTGGATAAAGTAATTTTTACGACGGTTTATTCCCACGTGGTTATGTTTTCGTTAGATGCCGAATGGCTGGCAGTGTGTCTGAAGAGCTAATGCATTGTATCCTGTGATTCTTGCTTTCATATTTCCAATAGAAAGGTGTCTACAATGTGTGTATACAAAGTTGACAGTGCAAATTTTTTCAAATATCGCATGAAATGTTGCAAGGTGCTTGATGGCTGTTGTGGTTGTTCGTGGACCCCGTCTCGGCGAGGCCGGCCACCATGCGAGAGAATAGTTCTTTTGAGGTTAAAACTGAGGGGAACGTAGTTTTTAAAATTTTTCGTATGCAATGGCTACGCAGGTGGCGGTTCTTTTCGTAAGGGGGACCGGAGAAGACGCGTAACAGCACACATCGGCTGGAGGCGGTCGGCAAAGTTCGGAGGACGGGTGTCCCCCTGTACGCTTGGGATCACCCAGATCAGCTGCTTCTTACACCGGAATGTACAGATCCTGCAATTCTTATTCACTACAGTCTCCCTTATACACCAAAAGAAGAAATCAAGACAGCCGTAGGTTGCAAGAAGGAGAGGGTTTGCTGCCTCTGCAGCAGCTTGGGGTGCAGCAGGCACACCTTAGATCTGTAGGTGATCTATAGTCTGACGGCTGCACGAGGGCCCCCCAAAGCAAAGAGCCGTTTACGCACACCTCTCCCAAGCTGAAACGGCTTGCAAGAATAGTTGTAATGTTTCATACAGGACCAGCGAGAGCACCAGCTGACCGATCTGCAGCAGCCCCACATCTGCAGTTTGAAGTCGAAGCGTAGACCCACGAGCACCGGCAGGCGGGCGAGACGTGCCTCTACGCCTTCGTTGTTTTGGGTTAGAGGTTAAGGATCTGATTTATGTTTAGTCTATCTGTTGCAAGACCTTGATTCTTCTTTCTTTCCCCTTTGTGGAGCCCTCACACCCCAAGAGAGGGAGACGCTGTGTTCTTTCTCTCTCCCCACGCCACAGATCCCTCTATTCTCCTTTCTTGTGCTCTACTCCTAGATCTATCCAGCTGCTGACACCCCCACCCAATGATGACAGCACGTGCCGGACAGTTCCTCCTTAGGGCTCCCCCTCCTCCTGGCACTGCCGCCACTCTCCCCCGCCGTCTCTTCGCCGCCTTCCACGATCCCTTCGCACCCAACTACCCCCAGACTGCCGAGCAGCAAAGAGATCCCAGGCCTCAGAATGGCACCACAGTAGGAGATCCTTCTGCTGTAGCGCCCAGTTCGTATCCCTATGCGAATAACTCGCCCTTCGAGGCCCCCGCGGGGCCCCTCTCCACCAGCACCTACGATCCTTCCCAAGCCGGCGCCCCCTATGGACAGTTTGGAGTCGCCGATGGCGGAGCAAGCGCATACTGCACACCTCCAGGAGGGGCCCACCCTGGTGGCGTCCCCGAAGGCCCCTACGGGGGAACGGCTTATGCTTACCAGCCAAGTGTTGCCCCTTTTCCTCCTTACCATGGAGCCTCTCCCTACGCCCCGCCTCCCGTCGGCGGGGTAGGGTACTACCCCCCACCGCCGATGGGGGGCCCCTATGGAATGGCTCCGACGTATCCCGGTCCTGCCCAGCAAGGCCAGGCTGCGTGGGGCCCCTCTCAACCTCAAGGTGGCGCTGCATGGGGCACGCAGGGGCCTCGTGGAGGCCTTCAGAGCTCTCCCGCGAATGAGGGAGGGGGTCCCCCTCCCTTGACTGCGCGGGAGAGGCAGCGCCAGTTCTTGAGCGCTGCCCTCTTGGGAGAGCTAGACGCTCTAGAAGCGAAGAACAGCGTCTCCCTGTACTTGCAAGGTCTCAATGGGGCCAAGCTGGCGGGCAGGCTGGGCCCCAAGGAGTGGCTGTACGCTACAAATGTGCTGAATGAGCTCCTGCGCCGTGAGGAACAAGATGAAGCAGATTTTGGTCTGCTGCTGCAGCAGCAGCTGCTCCTGTTGCAGCAGCTTCGGCAGTTGCTGCGGGGCGGACGAAGCAACTTCCTCCCCCACGATGTAGCTCTTCTGGCTGCAAATGCAGCGCGCATGCAGGCACTCTTCTCGATGCACTTCCTTACGAGAGAGGGAGCGCAGAAGGCACGTGATGTCCTAGCGAATCCCTCGCCCGCCTTGCGGCAGGCGCTGCAGATAGCGGCAGGGGAGGAGACAGCCGGCGCTGCAAGTACCAAGGGTGAGGGGCCCCTTTCTCTCAGCCTCTACAGGGGTCTCTGTGACGACCTTGTCTCGGAGCTGATCTTCTGCTGCGCCAAGAAGGTTGAGGCATACCCTGCCTCAACGCAGCCCTCCCATGTTAGGGCCCTTCCAACGTTGATGCGGGCAGCTCCGGCGCAGCTGTTGCCGAGGGAGCCGCAGCAGCACCAGCAGCAGCAGATGCAGCAGCAGATGCAGTACACTGTAAAGCGCGTCAAGGCCGTCTGGACCGAAGTTCTCCTCCGTATCTGTCCCCTCTTGGGGAGATACGAAGTTCTCCAACTGCTCCAAATCCTTCACGGGGCCTCTGCTCTAGCAAATCGGAAAGTTATTCGGGATAACGACCTTCTCACCCTTACCCAAGGTGAGCAGGGTAATCGTAGTGGTCTCGGCGTAAATATCATATTGTCTCAAACCGCGCGAGTTGTTCTTTTTGTCGCTTCTAGCCTGTGGTGGCCTGCCCCCTTAAGTGCTGCCCCTGTGCAGGGATGCAGCCGGCTGAGAGTGCACATTTTTTGCGCTTTTTGTATGAACTCAGCTGCGGGGGCACTCCTGGATCAGGAGCGGTTTGTAGCGGAGGTTTCAGAGGCACAACGCGCACGCATCTTACAGGAATTCTTCAGATGGTCTATCGAGACGAATGCGCCTTTCGCATTTGTTCGGCATGTGGCATGGAAGTCGACGCGTTTATTCAAACTGAATGTCAGATGGTAGGCTTGTGGCCGCTTTTCTTCGAAGCTTGGCATGCACAGTGTCACTCTTCTTTCTCCTCTCTTTGCGCTGAGCTGCCTCTCGGCTCTGCATCGCCAGCTGCGCTCCGTTCAGTCCGCTTTCCTCTATGCTTTGCCCAGTGGTATTCGCGGTGTTGGCCCCTTCATGCCTGTCGCCTTGGACGTAGGCACCGTCTCTGCCTGCTTGCATGCATGCGGCATGCACACCAGCCTCCCGGGGCGAGCTGCCGTCTTTCTTGATAGGTTTGACATCCCATCTGAAAAGGGAATCTGTAAAAGAATTTCGCGATGTGTGCCGAAATTGCAGGCTCTCCTCGAATGAAACTGCCCGGCTTCTGCCACTCATCTGCGCGAACCGCGTCCTCTGTGAGCTAGCTGTCCCCTGTATATCGTTTGCGGCTCGTCCTGCTGTGCGGCAAGTGGTATAGCCTGTTTCGCGTGCAGCGCTGCTGCTGCGCTTGCTACTTTGGAGCTTACTCTTGGTGCTCTTGGTGGCTCTAGTTTCTGGAGTCATGTTGATATGTTGCTGCTGGTGGAAATGCTGTATTGCCGTGCTGCTTGTTGTGCGGCCGCCTGCAGTGTCTGAGGACGAGTTGGCATTCTTCGTCCAGGTGCTGCTAAAGAGGGTTTCCAGAGCAACGCCTTTGTACGCTGAAGCGCAAAAGCTTTCTGCCGATGCCGCTGCTGCTGCCCTCTTTGGCGTGTCATTGAATGGTGTCGACCCCCGTAAGTTGCTACGAGAACAGACGCTTGGGCAGGCAGATCAAGGGCTGACTGCAGAGAGGGCGAAATGATGAGCATACCCATGGGAAAGACGACCGACAGGAGCGGATGGGACCGAGTAGGGGGGGTTTCCGCCCTTTAAGGGGCAGATTTCTTCTTTGCTTTTACCTTGTTACCATATTTGGCAAAGCTACCGTCAAATCGTCGCTCTCTCTGAATCTCTCTTCATCCGCCATGTTGCTGCGTTTGCAGAGCGCTTTTCGGGTTTAATAGTCCATCTTTTGCACGAGGCTGCGGGGCTCGACGAACTGCCACGTTCGCAGTCGATTGTATTTGCGGTGAGCTGCTCTGCTGGCTACAGTTAGTTGCCTCTGCGTTGAGAAAATAAAGTGGAGATAATAACATACTCTTTAGTCGCCTTCCTTGACCGCCTCAAAGCTGCAGCACCGGCAAAGGATCCACTGACCGTCGGGATGTCTTTCTTACGAATATATATATATATATATATATATATATATATATATATATACATATGCGTAACGCCAACTTGCCTGTTTGCGATTGTTGCAGCGTCTCTGCTGGGCCCTCTGCGCGCTAAAGGCCTTCGACCCGGCAGTGGCTGGGGACTCTTGGGAGGCCTCCGAAGCTGCGCGCCTGCTGCAGAGCGCGATAAAGAGAATAGAGGCAGATCATGCAGCTTCGCTTGCTCTTCTGCCGGTAGGCTGGCATTCGTCTGCGTCTTCGTGTGCCGCCATCTCGGTTCTTGCTGCTTCCTACTTTGTTTCATCTTTCTTCTCCAATCATTCTCCCTCCTCCGTCAGCCTCGTTTCGCTCTCACCTGGCGCCTGTGCTTTCTTCCTTTCCCGTTGGGTCGAATCCTGTTTTGATCCGCTTTCTATAAGACGGCCGGCCCCTTAGCTTTCACTTCTGTAGTGTCTCAATAGGTTTGGCGAGTGCGCATCATTTCGTTTGACTTCAGGATATTCTCACTGAGGTAGAGCTTTCTAAGGACTTGCTGCCACACTTTCAAGTGCCGGTATGTTTGCGTACTTGGGGATCCCGGGTCTGTCGCTTGTTACACGTCTTTCTTCTCCAGTTGCTGCTGAGGGGGACATGCATTGTGCCAAGCTCGCTCTCTGATCTCGTTAAGCTCTATGATCCGCTTCTCTTCTTTTCGCCCATGACTTCACATAGGCGTGTCTTTGCCTCTCAGTGCATCGGTTCTGCGTGCCGTGCCCTCCCATTCCTCGCGCCACAGTCCTGAATCCTCCCTGCATGTTCCTTCCTTGTCCTTCGTATCTCTATCCCCCTGCTCCCCGAACCCGCGCATGTGTGTGGTTCAGCCATCTCTAGAGGCGGCAGCGGCAGAGGCATCCCGTGTGCAGGCAGCACTGGATAGACGCCAGAGCCGCCGTCTGCATTTTACGCTAAGAAGGGCCCTCGAAAAGCTGGGGGCTGAGGTGGTACCTGCCGCCTCTCAGGACGAAGAGACTGACCTAGGCCAGGTGCAAGGGGACGGCGGCCCAGGTATTGATGTAGAGGAGCAGCTGCAGCGGCAACTCCCTTCAAAGAAGACAAACCCTAATGCAGGGCCTCAGGCAAAATGGGTTTACAATGAACAACTTGGACCATACAATGTGTCTTTTTATTGCCCTGCGAGGAAGGTGCGTTACTTCTTCAAAGGACCTCGTGGCGGTCTCACGATTGTGGGTTGTTCGTAGAGCTGCTGCTTTCACAACGGCACGGGCGTTGTGGGCCCTTCTAATTTGTAGCACCTGCACAGGGGCCCCGTGATTTCTTATAAGGCCCTTACGAAGTTGGGCACGGTGACTCCTAACTGAGTGCCAGCTCATCTCAACCATCGAACGGTTTATCGCAGTCGCTGCCGCCGCCGACTTTCTCTCTTTCCGGAGGCGGTTTGTCCCAGTCGTACATTATTTCGAAGCGTTTGCCGATTTTTCCTTGTGCATGCAGTTGGTGTTGGAGATCGATGACCGCTGCCTAGGGCGTAAGGCTTTTCTTCCTGCACTGCAGGTTTTTCGCCGGTGCCACTTAGAGGGTGGAAATGGTTGCTGGTTTTCAGCACGTGAGTCACTGCATGTGTTTTCACGTGGCAAGGACTTGGTTGTGTGTGTTGATTGTGCAGCAAGCAAATATGTGAAGAAGCGCCACCTGGAGTCTCTCTTCAAAGACGAAGGTAGGGATGACCATGACCCTGTTACCTGCCGTGTATTCAGTTTATCGATGTGTATTGCTGTTTGAAGAGACCCTTCTGGTTCAATGACTCCAGTGTCGGCGCTACTTTTGAAAGGTGGTGCCTTGTGGGTTGCGCCACACAGTATTACATGGATCGCTGCTGATTGTTAAGCCCCCTTTGAGAGGTGCACGCATCTGAACAAACATTTTTTCACCTGTGTTTGTGGCGGATTCAGGTTTGCGGGTTTTGGTGGTCGGGGAGCATCTTTTCCAGCTCTCGAGGGTAACGGGCGAACAAGGTGTTGGTAAGCGCATTTACGGGGATGAAAGGGCCCTCACTCGTTTTTCAAACTGTTTGCCTGAGATATCTGTTCCCCTATTCCTTTTAGAGCTGGAGCTATGCCAAAATGTGTGTCCTTCCTGCGCTTTCAGACATTTTGCGTTCTGCCATAAACGCAGCTCAGCGGGCGGACGAGATCTGTCCCCCTCGTCACGTGCAGCTCCAGGCTCTGCTCAAGAGGGTATCTCGGCAGAAGCCTAAGGCAGAAGAGGTTACGGCTGCTGTAGCAGAGGCCTCAACAACAGGAACAAAGGGCCAGTGAGGCAACATCAGCAGCAGGATTTACAGGGGACATTGCGTTCGCTTATCGCCCTGCAACAGGACGTACAAAGCCCATAATGCAGCAAATAAACAGGCATTAAAATGTGGGGCCTTCAATTTGGCCTCCAAAAAGGCATTCGTTGTGTCCAAAGAAATGCTTTTTTCTACACAATGGTGCAGTATGCTGCAGCGAGGAAGCACCGTCGCGCAGCCTTTCCGCAGGGGGCCCCCTGCGTGGAATAAAAAAAGGCATGAAGAGCAGTACTTATTTTGATTACGTGCAGGGCTCCTATGCTCCATTGAATAACTGTACGTGGAGGGGCCTCTCCGGGCCCCCGTCAGGGGCCTCGTCCTCGATAGCGCCAGCATCGGGGTAGTGCGTAGAGAAAGGGTCTCTCTGAAGAGTCCCTCATACCGGGGGCCTCTACGATCTCCTCTTGTGCTGAGGTGCGTCTCGTGAACTTGTTGGAGAGGCACTTCTCCAAAAAAAACGATGTGCATAAAGGCTAAAGCAGTAAGAGATGACGAAAGCAAATTAAGAAGGAACGGAGAAAGGCGCGGTGCCTGCTGAGAGGTGCCCAGGCGACGCCGATTGTGGACGCGAGGGCTCTCCAGTAAAGGAACGTGCGCGTGTTGGCGTAGTAGTTGGATTAGTCCTTACAGGACCTTTCCATATATTGTTTTGGAGTCCCTGGTCGTACGGAGGCATGAGGAAGGAAATCTGCTGTGCGCCACGGTGCATGGTGCTAATCCGTAGACGTTTCCTGGTCTCCATCAAGGACTGGGGTACCCCTGAGGCTTCTTGGAGGGTTGGTTTCAGGTGCAGCCCCACGCAGTTCATCAAGGACTTCAACTGTTGTGCAATAACCCCCCAGTTTTGAAATGAAAACCAGCGAGGTGACACCTTAACCGGCTGCTGCAATGCTGGATTGCCGAGGCGCTGATACGACCGGGCTTGTTCAACTGAAGTTTTCGCATAGCACAGTAGTGCGCAGCCACATGACTTTACGTTGTGCTTTTAGGTCATGCATGAGAGGCGCTGTGGTGTAGGTACACCACAGGCATGGGTTTGTTCGCCGTTTGCAATATTTATGTGGCCGTACGGGCCTTGCTGAATTGAGCTTTCCAGACTGTTCGTACTCATGCAGATAGAAGTATGTGCCCGCATGGTTTTTACCCCGTAGGAACTGACTAATTTCTTGTTGGGGTGTCTGGATGCGACCTTGTACACATGAGATGGCACACGGTATGTACGCTGTTGTACGACTTACTTAGACAATTAGGGTCTTTGTTGAGCCTCAGTCCATTAGCCTTGAGGAATGTTTGGGCAAATTTCCATTCAGGGGCATCCTGATATCTGAGATCAGCAATGGTTGCTGCATCATCCAACAACCTAAGCAGAGTTGCGCATTGGTTTGGGTGCTCAGCACACATTCTTTCCATATATTCCAATAGGAGGTTTGCGGGGCCTGCAGGTCTAGCCATTTCGTCACAGCTCTTCATCTCGAATTTCTCCGCTAAGTATCCAAGATTAGCCGCTAGGAGCTCTACTTCCTGCTGAGTTGCAATGCATGCATTCACGATTGTCGCCTTCATGTTGCATATCCTTTCTGTAAAAAGGGCCATCAAGTGACTTGTCCAGCTAGATCCCTCTTGAGGCTGGAGTGTCGGGCTCCCTACGCTGAGCAAATGTTTGCTTGTTTCATGCTTGCATTCATGAGTTGCATATGCTCGTCCCATACTGCTTCTTATGGCATCCTTTCGCATGCGTTCGAATCCCAGAAGCGCAGCTGCTGGTATGGGGAACAAACCTGCAGCTACCTTCGCATCATACAGTAGCGCCTTAGCCGCCTTCGCTTCCGCCTGGTGATGAGGCGGATTGAAGCTCCGTTCAGCCCGTCCTACCTGCGCATACGCCGCAGCATCATGTGCTGAAGACCCAGCACAGCATGATGAGGCTTGCACTTGTTACTATATTGCATGAAATTCTATTATAGCTGCTCGTCATAAGGAGGCCTAAAAGGTCCTCTGCGACAAGAAGTTTGGTCCTTACTAGATTCGCAAGCTCAGAGAGGTCATGATTGTCCAACATTCCAAGCACCCTCGCTGTAACCATCGCACCAAGGGGTGTTGTGAAGGGGATAATTGGGGTTCCCAGATCGTTTGGTTTTAGCACGGTGGCTGGGCTTCTATGCATGTGCTGGAGATGAACTGAAGCCGACATGTTGTCTTCAATCACACCGAGACAACGCACGAAGACGGGGGGAGGCGGGAGGGGGGAATCGCCAAGTAGTTCGCTGAGGTGTGTGTGCATCCAGGTGTGTCTGTAGGAGGCCCAGATACGTCTAATTAGCTTATCTACAAGTTCGCCGACAGTCCACACTGTGTCGGTGTCCATCGCATCGCATGGATACCCATTCTGCTTATCCCATAGCAGGTCCTCCTGATCTATGCGGTTAAAAAGGTTCTCAGGCAGCGCAACCTTAAAAACTAGAGACACGCCCACTATAAACGGTTGAGGATTCCCAGCGGGGCTACTGTTGGCAATCCTGCAGACAAAGACACCTGTGTATGCGGACACATTTGAAAAAGTATTAGTGCACGAAGGAAAAACAGCAAACGGGCGGGAAAGCAGTAAGGGGCTACACGTGTAGCTTGCAACCGTACGTACGGAATTTTGAACGGGAAGGCTTCCTCAGGCAGGGTCACGAGGCCAGGCGATCTGTTCATAAAGGTTTGCGGGATTGAAAGTGGAGACGTTTGTGGTTCATCAGCATACACCAAATGCATCAGTGAAGCCACGTACTGCTGCGGGGCGATGATCCCTAAGGAGATTCCTGTTGGAAGATCTCTGAGGTCACAGCAGCAGAGATGCACAGCAAACCAACAGAACATGCCTGTGTGACACTCCAAGGTGCTTTTATCGAAGCTCATCTTGAGTCGGGGACACTTCCAAGAGAGCCGGATAAAGACAGCACGGACGAGTCTCCTTAGATGTAGGGGTTGCGGGCATCCGAAGAAAGATTGCAGCAATACATTGCTTCCGTTGTGCCATTTGCAGGTCTCAATATTTTGGGGGGATCTCACTTTTCGTAGGTGTCCCCGAAAAACATCATTTTAGTCCCATCATGAAAGACGCTGTCATCCGTGCGGGTGAGCCGTGCACCCTTTTGCAGTAAAGTCCATAGGCCGGTGAACTTTGACATGCCTCGATACTTCTTCCCTGGGAACAAATATCAGAAATACATTTCAGCGGTATCTGATACTCACACAGCTTCAGCTCTTCACTCGAATACGACACCAGAAGCACTATGGCTGGGGTTTGTGTTTTGACTTGCCTAGTAAAACGCTTTGAGCGACTGGCATGTAGTTCTCATGTTTCACAATGTGACCTGTTTCTTGCAGCTCTGCGCCAAGCAGCGCGGCCTCATGCGTGTACATCCGCGCCAAATCTTTATAGAGACTTTTAGGTCTAAATAGAAATCTGGTGGATGGCCTTGCAGAGGCCAGCACCACCGGAAGTACCTCGTTTCGTACTGGTCGTACCTTGCCTCTTTCGCGCCTCTGTGCCCCCATAGAGAGCATATACATTAGACCTCCCATCCCAGGATACGCTACCCCGCGTGGGTAGGAACTGTCCACTCCTCCTACATATATACCAAGCCCTCGGACCCGCCAGCCTCCACTTGAGATACACGTATCATCGACGTCCACGGCAATCGCCACCTGGTCCTGCACATTCTTTAAAGCATGCAGATCCAGGGGCTCGGTGAGGGACGCCGTCGGTCTGTTATTTTGCTTTAGTTGCTGGAGAGCAGAGAGGGTGACCCCAGTCTCTAGTTCTAATACACGGATCCACTCCCCAGGCCTTTGCCGCCTGGAAACAAATACTGCGAAGCCCCATCCGCATCAGGCGTATACAAGATGCGTACAGTGATGCATTCGCAACCACGCCCTGCTACAGAAATAGCAAAAACACCGTGCTAGAGAAGACGATAGGCTGCCCCCGAGCAGTCGACCCGCGCATGCACACTCACCAGTATTGAGGAAGTCAGCCTCGTTTATATCCACTGCCTCTGTAGGCACAGACAGACAATGCATATGAACATCCGGCTCTGGCCTTAGCCGAGACGTGTGGCCATTAGATGTATGGCAGAAAGGCTGCAGACTGGTCCCATGTGAAGAACGGTGCTATACTACTGGCTGATGAGACGAAATGGGCCCTAAGTCCTCCACATGCTGCCCTTCAAAGCATACGTTCGGAAAAGCTATGCAGCATAGACCTCTTGAGGCGCTGGTAGCCATGGAGCATACGACGGAAGAAGCGGCGGACTCTTCGTAGAGCTCCAGGGCCTGAACGCAGTACAACGCATAGAGTGCATAGGAATGCCTCGGAACAGTTCTACAAATAATAGCTAAAATCAATGTAAATTCAGGGGCCTCGTTAGCCTCGCAACTATTGATTGTTATTTTTACTTAGGCAGTGTGCTGCTGCGGTGGACCCTTCATGCCCTCTCGCCCTTCCGGAACCCTTGTCTAGAGCATCAGCACAGAGGAAAACGGAGCTCTATCCCCAAAGTCAGAGGTATGCTTACGAGCAGCGGCCTTTATAATTCTCTGCAGTTGCTGTTCATCGCTCGAGAACGCGCAGCGGAGCTTAACTTTCGAATCTGTGCTGCTTGAGAACGCGACCGTGGAGACAATGCCCTTAACAAACTCGATCTGTTGCTCCCTTTGCATTTGTCTGCCCCGCTGAGACCCCAAAAAGACGATTACTTCCTCTGATGATGCAAACATATGAACCGGGCCGCACGCATAGAACACAGCGGTATTCTCAAAACCGCTTTGACCCCAAAGTGCAGGCCCTCATTGTGCTGTGATTGTATAACTCACCGGCAATGGCGGCGCAGTGATACTCTACAGCGAACCGCGTCGTGAATACGTTGGAGCCTCCAAGGCCTTCCTGCATATTCCGCAAACATCACAGGGCTGAAGTGATGTGTCGTTTTTTCGTTTTCACTTATTATATCCTAGAAAAGTGCTAACCTTTGCGGAAGAGTGCCGCATCAGGCTTACAGTGAGGTTAAAGTCATCTTTCTTGGTTGCATGAATGAGGTTGAGAAGGCTCGCAGCAGCCTTAATCGGAGCCAGGGGGTCCACATTCCTCATATATACTTTGTTGAGTGTTGTCAACAAGCGACCTTTTGTTAGTGGCAAGCTAGCATCGTGGATACCCTTGTTGTTTGCGAAGAGCACGTGTGAGCGGCCGTCAGCAGTGAGAGACATGACGCGAACAACAGAACCCAGGTGAAGTCGAGCTACACACAAGCAGTAGAGCCAGGGAACCATGTGTGGGCATAGGGCCATTCACTCAGAGGTCAACGGTAGTGGTTCCTGCGGCTTCAATGTGCCAGCTAAGGAATTCAAGGACTTCAGGAGGTTATACACGCTCTGACGGTCCACACCTAGGGTTGGGTTATGCATTTTCTTGGTTTTAAGGCTAGCCAGGACTCGCAAACAGGGAAACCAAAATTGTCATGCCAAAGCTCACGGGGCTGCTTGCTGGTAGGTTTGATTGCATGTAAGACCAAATTCGAGGCCTCCTGTACAACGCTATTTTCTGCAGAGGGAATGACGCAGATATCCAGACTAAGCAGCCATATGCGACATGGAAAGAGCAGCCACCTATCAAAAGATTTGTCCACATTTGAACGGGCACAGGTAGACAAGCAACAGGCATAGCCTAAGCGAATCACCAGAAACCTGTCCCTGTACGGATGCATCAGAGATATACCGCAGTGAGGAACCCAGATAGGACTAAGCAGATAATACTTCAGGCCTTACCGGAGAGCAGCAGCCTAAGAAGCAGCATGACCTTTGGTCTTGTCTCATAGCTGCCAAACCTGAATACTCCTCTTTCCTTTGCCCACAGGCCAACGCAGAGAAGCGCCATCGCCCTTACACTCACTGGTACAACGCGGGACAAAACTGCACTTTCTATTAGAGCCGCATATTGCCTTATGTAATTGTCTACCTGGGCCATGAGCCTCATTGGGACAAATCCGCCCTCTATTTTGTCTAATAACAATCGCAACTTCTTCCATTGAGCTGTCTCCTGTTCGGGGGGACCCGTAATTGAAAGTAATGTTATAACTGCACAAAGAGAAGCATACACGACTTTAAAGAATGGCTAACTTGTAGATCGCATTAGAAAAACCTTGATACCGAGGTCTTAAGTTGTGAATTGCTGTGTGTTGCTGACCTAGTCGCGCAACGACGGTGCCAAGCACAGAGGACGTGTTTGATAGACTAGACTGGATTCGTTTGCCAACTGTCCAAAGAGTGTTCTTTGCGTTCCCTTGGCTGAATCTTATCGCAAGATGCATGCTGTACTGCAGCATGTCTCCATAGTCCACTGGTAGTCCATTCACAACTTCTTCAAATGTCTGAAGTCGTTCCAGAATGTCAATTCCAGCATTTTTGTAGAAGCTACCACCCACTAGCAGATGCCACGGAGGACAGACCTTATCCATACCGCGGTTTCTGTATGTTGATACTGTGGGAATGAATGCCAAATCCGGCGAATCGGTTTCCCGGACAGCCTTCTCGAAGCGAGGGACTATAGCCTCAAGTGCGGCACTCCGTTCAGCAGACCCGTCTGAACGCATACACTGCATCGAAAAATAAAAGTACTTGAAGAGCGGACCCTGGGCGCAGCTATGAAGAATAGAGGCTACACCATTCCCACCTGCGAAGACTGAACTTACTTGCATCGCAACGGAGCTCAACGGGCACCGGTTCGTCTGCCAGCAATTTTGCAACCTACGGAACAGAGAAAATGTAGCGGGACAATCAGTAAGCCACCCATTGATATCACGCTAGCTCGCATGCAAGCAGCCCTGCCCGGTGCATACAAAGCCCAGAGCATGTTCCCGGCCTATTCCAACCCTTCTTAATATAGTCTGCTTGCAAAGTTTTGAGTTTAAGTGCACCTCAGGAAAGGGGACGAAGAGGCTGGGCTCGAGGAGAGGCACATTGGGGTTCCAGGTGTTGCAATCAAAGGCCTCGCCTTCCTCCAGAGTTACGAAGGGCCGACAGAGGCCGAAAAGGCCAACAATGGCAGCATCAAGCACCATGTGTGCCAGCCTATCTAATTTGAGCATGCTTATCACAGTGGTCTTCTCCACGGCGTCACCTCCTGAATGCAAAAGCCAAACACCCTCAATATTCTTTCTTGTGCTTCCTTATTTGCAGGTGGTTTTTCTTGACTAATGAAACTCTGGTTACTGCTTTCATAGGGTGTGCTTGATGCACACCAGTCCTTAAGTCCTTCCACGCGTTCCACAGGTCTCGGGTTCCAAGCTTTCGCCATATTCGTATAAGCTGCCTCCCCATAAATGCCCTCATCGCCTTCCAAGGTTGCCTTGTGCTCATCCTCATGCCGGGAGGAGATTCTGGGTTCCACCAAAAGCTAGTGCTCTGTGGCGAGGTGAGACCTTCCCTCAGCTGAAGAATGTATTGCTCTATCCGAGGGTGTGCCAACCGCAAAAGCCCTAGAGGAGCAGAACCGTCAGCACAGTAGGAGCAACATGCAAAAGTTTCGCGGAAATTTTGGAAGGGCGTTTTGCCGCTGCAACTAGCTAAACAGGGGCTGATATCTTTTTCTGACCTGCTTTCTCGAGTGCTCTAAGAAACTCCTTGGGATCTGTGCCCTGGACTGCCTCAGAGATGGCTGTGAACACAGTAGGAAGAAGGGATAAAATCAGAGGTGAACTTGGCAACGTATTAGCAGGAACCACAGCAACACAACTAGGCGGGAAATTGCAACATATATATATATATATATATATATATATATATATATATATATATATATATATATATATATATAGCAGCTATCACTTGCCAGCACTTGCGCAGCGGTATACGTACTCCAGGGAAGAGGGCCCCCGCGGGTAAGCGCCTCAATTGTTTTGTGTATCCCTTTTGCTAGTTGTTCAGCGACGGGAGTGGGTAGCTCGTCCAGGCCCCTTTGGACGCTGAGGTGCTCTCGGAGGCGGCCTGCCAGCAGTAGCATCGAGATTCAAGAAGAGTTGCGACTCAGATGGCCTAATTTATTTGCGTCTGTTTGCTGGCTTGGTTCACAAAGAAAACTTTAGGGGAGACTTGCTGGAGAATGCACACGAGTGCACATTAAAGGTGCCGTGAGAAAGGCGTCCATGAAGTGCGTGTACACTCTGCGGGGTAGCCTCACTGTGCAGGCTGTTAACTTCCTCTGAAGCAGGAAGATTAGGAGCTTGGAGGTCTACCAATTCCGTATCGAGCTCGTGTTCTAAAAGCGACATGGGAGTAGTCGCCATCTCCCCGGAGGGAGTTGAGTGCAAAGACTCCGAAGGATCATGTGCACGGGTCGAACCCACACTAAACCAGCGACCAGAACCATGAACGCTGCCTCCGGGAGGTAAAGGAGGTCTCTGATCTGTATAATCGGCAAGTACGGATGGATCCACCGCCCCAGGGGAATCCTCCACCCCGAGATCTGCACCTGTGCTCGCAGGTTGCACCGGGCTTGTCGCAACCGTTGCTGCACTCAGGAGGCACAATACATGCAAAATACGGGAAGATAGAGGCTGTAAGTTCTTGAGTCATGCTATAAGCGAAGGGAGGAGAGGGAACTGGAGGACACTTCTGGGGGCCCAAGCATGAGGGGGGTAAGCCACGCAGTCAACCAGATTCATGAGAAGACAATGTACACATGAAAGTCATTGTGCCTTTATTAAAGGATGCTTGAAAGTCTATGAACGCGCCTTACATGTGTCATTGCAGGTGAAGCCACAAAGTGCTGCACAGGCCAATAGTGCATCTCTCCGAAACCTGTGGGACCCCATTCTACTGGAATTTCATAAAGGAAGGACTCCCAGAGGTACTCACAACATGAACAGCCCCCCAAAACAAGGGCTGCTGCGTATTCTTCCTCGATTTGAGAGCGGATCCGCTATGTGTAGGGTACAGCTTACAAGGGGACAGGGGCAGGCCGAAGGGTGTCCTTTGTTGAGGGGGCTACCCAGGATTATCTTCTTACTCCATCAGTTCTCCCATTGATATTCGCAGCTCTCAAATCCACTACAAAGCTGTTCTTCAATCAGAATATTGATGGTGAGGAAGGCCAATGTTGAGCAGTCAGAGACCGGTGGTCCTGTCTGGTCTGGTGAATTGCCCTTTGGGCCCAGACACAGGGGCCCTTGCAGAATCGAGGCTCAAGATATCAAGCATAAACATGGAAGATAATAGATCATAGTAATATATGAACGTGCGTTGCTCCTGATAGACCTAAAAGTCAATATTAGTTCAAGAGATCTGCAGTGCAAGCAGGTACAGCGAATGCAACGAAATTTGCTTCTCCCCTTGTCCCCGAGTTCTGCCTTTTAATAGTTGGCAGAACGCCCATATACAATGACAAATACGGTAAAGAGACCCATGGATCCTTCGTGGAATTGTTAGAAACCCATAAAGACGCTTGTGGCCACAGCTGGGGATTTTCCAGACCGCGGTGGAGACCGACGACGCGGCCACACGGGAGACAACTGCCCAGGACAAGCCTTTATTTGTTCTTGATTCTTGTTTTCTAGTTTTTCAGTTGAATTTTTTCTGCCTGATATGGGATTTGAAATAGGAACTTGCAGGGCTATTTGTCAGCTGGATTGCTTGGACCAGGTCTACTCACGCAATCAGCATAGCAGCTGCATATACGAATGCTTCAGGTTAGGTTACAAAACAGCGATATACAGATAAAACGTAAGCCACAGACTTTTCATTATCAGACTGAGGCTGCACATATAATATACGCTTCTAGGGCCGCACGCAAGTGGCCCGTACATTGCCCTCCCCGTATTAGCTGTAGCGGGCTAACCTGCACTTCGGCACCTTTGCACAAATACTCATTCTGAACTCAAAACTGGCGAGGAACGTATCAATTAGGATCTGTGTTTTTATGTCTTGTTTCTTATAGAGTGGTATTAGCTCGATACTAGAAGACGCGATGCGGTGTGTGTAACGGTCCCAGCATCTAAAGTCTTCGGAGGGATAAAGTTGCCACCACACACTGTGTACACAACTAAGATAGAGATACTCAATGTTTTGAAAAGGTAGTTTCTGGCTTGTTCTGCCTGGGCCTCTCATAGTTCTGGACATTAGGATGTGCGTAACTACACCTCTCGGCATTCCAAGCTATAACGGCTAGTTGAACACAACATCTGGCACAAACCCGCACGATGTTGTATCAATAGAGCACTAAGGTTTTGCGAAAACATGTACTAACAAAGAAAACAACGTAAATTCTATGCTACTTGTGAGTTTGATATGGCTACTTAGTAGAAATGGATGAAGTGTAGCATAGCACGCTACATCTACGTTCCCTTATTTGAAGCCCACGCCTTCATGTTCGATGCTCTCGGGTTAAGACTAACTGCTTCATGTCCATCTCGCATCGAAGAGAGAAATCGATAGAGCAAGAAAGACCTCTGAACTGTGAAAGAATTGCACATGGTCATAGCCTCCCGGTCACAACCTCCTTCGTATGGTCACTTTAGTGCAGCCGTAAAGCCTGCTGCAGACTATTGCCTTCAGGCACGCAGAAACACGAGATTAGTACAAATTAGAAAGGCAGAGAAATGTGTTAAACGACTACGTGAAATAGACGAGGAAACGGCACACACGCACTAACCAATAAATGACGAAGGACAAAACCAGCCCGCAGCACGAAGGCTCATTATCCTCGGAGCGCTGAAATGTGTTGCCAATTTTTTCCACAAGGCTAAGAAGCACATACAAAGAATCAAGAAACACACCACGTTTGGTACGGCCTCCGCGCCTCCTCCAGCGATTTTTGCATGCAAATATCGCTTGAGAAGTAGTTCGCTACCAAGGCTAAATGGGGAAAAGAAAAGAATGCGAAGATAATATACCTGAGCCTGCCTGCACATAAATCTGAGTCTAGAAAACACCTTAGTATTGATTACCGTATACATTCCCAGGAAGTGCCCATTTACAAGTTTGAGCTCTTCAGGCAGAACGTGAGCTGAAAAACTATTTTTTCACTGGAAAGAGGAGTTGGATCCGTAGCGACTAGCTATGTTGACGAAAAAGGAGCCCTAAACTCTTCTGCAGGCAAGCGTAACTCCCTTCCCTCTACTGCTCCTCCGCCAACTACGAAGGCAGACCTTCCTCACCCCATTTTTTTCAGAGTCTCCTGTCTACTGCGCCCTTGACAGCCGCTAGTACTAGGATCTAGCACAACTAAAGCCGCCTGTGCATCCTCTGTTTCCACACGGGTCTACTGCCTAAACGGCAATTCTAACAATTCGGCGGGCTCTTTGTTTAGGAATCCAGTGTTGGCACTTTTGTGGCACCTCCAGCTATTAGGGAAATCGATGGAGTGAGAAATACCGTTGATCACAAATGCTCTTAGCCACTTGGCCACACCCTTCCTCGTCTGGCCACCTAGTGCATCCACAGAGCCTGCCAATCCACGAGGGCTAAGCATTCAGGCTCGAAACAAGCATTCTGCCTTCGCGTATTAGACTTCTGTGCCCTTCTTGTTCGTATAACCAGGTGTTCTTTAACTTTCTCTATTTCCTTGGGTAAGTGCTGACTACGGATCACCAGGTCTAGGCCAAGATAGCACAACAAGGAGGCGGGGAGATCCTGATAGACGAGTGTATCGTGTTTTTGCAACCCACTCAGAATAATAAGGAAGCTCAAAAAGCCAAGCTGCATTTGTTAAATCACATGGGTACAAATGATGCGACAGAGTTTGGTTGGTGGGCCGTGACTGTCTATCTGCCTGAGGGTGGATCTCATCTGTCCCCATCCGGTTTATTATGCAGGCGGGTGACAAAAGAAGGCCAAAATGCACTAGCGAGTTTCAATGCCCTGTCCGTAATTACATTCCTGTGAGCTGCTTAAAGCTTCTATATATTAACTAGAAAAATATGAGCGACTTCCCAAGCCGTGATAGAGCTGGAACAAGAGTTATAGTGGGCCTATTTGCTGAGTCTCTCGACGACGACGTCAATGCTCTCCTGCCTTGCTGCATACGGAGATGTAGCATTTTAATCCATGAGCGTCGGCGCACAGAAAACAGGAAGTTTTTGCAAGGAACTGGTTTGGGGGGGAATTGCGCGACTTCACCTGCTGAAACCTGGGCAAGACAGTGCGTACCCCTTCGCCGCGGGATGCCCCCGAGGCCACCAAAAAGCGTGAGAGCTTTTCGTAATAGTGTGAACCCTTCTACGGCACCAGACAAAATAGACACCTTTTTTCCCGAAGTGGCGCTGCGGGACAAAATGGAGGTGCAAGCGACGGAGGCGTTTG